TCCTTCAACTCAATATCAAAAAACCAGCTCTGACCAGTGGGGCTTGGTCAGGTGTTGTCCTACAAGGCAAGGGGTTGCTGGTTTGATTCCCTGGACAGGGTGCATAAGAGGGCAGCCAATCAATGTTTCTCTCTCGTGTTGATGTTCAAATGAGCAAAGGATTGGAATAGACATTTCTCCCAAGAAGACATGCTAATGACCAACAAGTATGTGAAAGATGCTCATCATTAATCTTTGGGCAAGTGCATATCAAAATCAGAAACAGATATCACCTCAAACCTGTCAGGATGGCTGTTATTTTTTTTAAAAAAAACAAGCGTTGGTGAGGAAGTGGAAAAATTGGAACCCTTGTGCACTGTTGGTGGGAATATAAAGTGTTGCAGCCATTATGGAAAACAGTATGGAGGTTCCTCAAAAACCTAAAAAGTAGAACCACCATATGATCCAGAAATCCCAGTTGTGAGTACTTACCCACTAGAATTGAAAGCAGGGCCTTAAAGAGATGCTCACACAACTATATTCATTGCAGCCATTGCAGCATCATTCACAATAGCCAAGATGTGGAAACAACCTAAATTTCATCAACAAAAAAATAAAGAATGTGCATTTCTCAGTATATGAAAATGCTAATTTCTTCCAATGGTTACTAATGAACTTCTTTAGCAAAAGGGCTAGGAGGAAATAATTTCCTGGTCTAAGGAGAGTAAAAGGTTTCTGACCCTCCAGTAGCTGTCAGGGTACAGAGCAATGGAAGCAGACTCAACAGCACTTGTGACTGGTGTCAAAAATAAACAGAGCCCAACACTGGTTAGAGAGGTAAGGACAGATTTTAAACAGTCATAACTACTACAAAAGGAAGAGAGTTCAGCATGAACTGACCTCAACTTCTATCTGTGCAGAGGTGATTGGCATTTTAAAGGGAGAATGAGGGAGTAGGACATGGGGAGTCAGGAAGGGATTTGGGCAGAGTGGAAATTCACAAAAACCAGGAGGCTGTACACCAGTGTGATTAGGCCATCTGGGTTTGCTAACTGGTGCTTATCAAAGTTAGGGACCTACCCTCCCACAGGGGCGCCTATTGTGAGGTGTTGTCTGGAACAAACAGTAAATTCTTTTGGCAGCCTTGAGCTTTTCCAGGCAAGAACTTAACAGGGCTGGAATTATCATCCCTAGCAACACAGCCTTGGGTCGACAGAACTGTTGCTTATGTTTGTTCAAGCATGTGTGTGAGAGAGAGAGAGAAATTATTTGTGATGAGAATCTATTGGAATAGTTTTCTAGGCCAAAATTGAGGCCTAGTCAAGAAGAGGGCTGAGCAGGGGCTGACTAGAATTTAGTTTGTCAGTGCTAGTAGCACACATGTCATCTCCCTCCAGTGTGACACAGGGATGTATTTCCATGCCAAGGGTAGGGTTGTCAGAGCAGAAATGCGTTTGTGGTTTAGAAATGCCACCCTGGTTAGCTCGTTTTTGGAGTTCAGCCACCTGGACAAACATGGTGTACATGCAGGGGTTCAGTGGAAACGCCAAAGCCACTACCATGCTGCGGTATCAGGAAAGGCTTGTAAAGAAAATATAACACTAAATTCACAAGAAACTGACTTTCAAATAAGTGTGCAGCCCTAGTACATTACATTGTTTTATTGTGGTAAGAACACCTAACACGAGATCTACACTCTTCACATTTTCAGGCGTGCGACCCAGTACTGGTGGCTGCAGGCACTGTGTGGAGCGCCGGGCCTCTGGCGCGCACCCTTCCTGCGTAACTGGAAGTTACACCCATTGAACAGCAGCTCCCTGTTTCCCTTCCCCCATCCCAAGGCAACCACCTTTCTACTCTCTGCTTCAATGTGTTTGGCTATTTTAGATTCCTCATGTAAGTGAGATCATGCCATACCTGGCCTTTAGTGCCTGGATTATTACATTTAGCCAGCATAATGTCCTCAAAGTTTATCCACGCGTTATTGAGTCTTAAAAAGGCCAAATTGTATGTACACCTATATATCACATATGAGTAAGCCGTATCTCTTTGGAAGTGATTAGGCGTGAAAAGAACTCGTTATAGAGGAGGTTTTTAAAAACCTGATTTCACTTTATATTCGTGTTCTCCAGTTATTGTGACATACTTGTTCCAAAACAGAGTAACTCCGTCCACTGTTGCTTGACAACTAGACTGTTAGTGCTGGTTTTTTCCTTCTCTCAGATTGTGTAGCGTGTTGTCTTCCCCAGAGAGCTGTGGTGGGAACGGGCAACGGTAGGGAACTGGTGGGGAGCCACCTTTTGGTCCGTTTTTCCTTTCTGTGATGTTGAGCGCCGGTAACTCATTAAGTCACCAGCCCTTTATCCAAGAATTAGGTGTCTGTTCTATTGTCTGGTATCTGTTCCTCTGAAATGAAAAAATGTGGGTGTTATTCAAAAGACGCTTCAGTGCAGAGGTGTTTCCTCTGTCCCTTCACAAAATAATTACTGCCGCGTGTCCTCTACCATAACAGGCCATGACAGGCAGAGCAGGCATTGTCCAGTCCTCAAAAGTTTACAGTCCAGTGTGGGAGTGAGAAACCAAGTAATCACGCAGCCCATATAGAGTGGTGATGATTGCACCAGACGGGTGGTGGGCACATGAGAACCAACTGGGAGGTCTCAGGGGACCCCTTTCCTGTGTCCCTGTGAAGAGTAATTGTTTGCCAATGAGCTGTCGATACTAAAACAAAAAATCGTAAGTGATAAATGATAAATGACCCCTTCAGCCAGCATCAAGGTACAGAGCTGCTCTTCAGAACGTACTTGAACAAATGAGTCACCCATGCCATTTGCCTTACAGTGAAGTTCCAACATATCTTTTTCATTTGAAATATTGTAAATTGTACATTTCAGTTAAAGTTACAGGCTATCATGTTCTGTATTTATCATTTAAAGCTGCTTTCCAACACATTCGGTGTCTGCTTTCCCAGAGTTTCCGCAGAGCTCCTTCTGGTTTTGTCTGTGTTTTCTTTAAGTGACATGCACTAATACATTCATTCATCACTGCCCTTGGGAAAAGTTTTAGCCTTTTTTTTTTTTTAGCTTTCAGCCATTAAACTGTAGACCATGTTTAAAAGAGTATTTGATGGAAAGTGGTTTAAGTTCTGTAAATTCTGTGAGCTTATTACTACTTAAATATATCTTCCCTTGCAATTAACCTATCTTTTTAAAAAATTTCTTAATTGTTTATTTATCAAGAGAAACTGTTCTTTAGCTCAAATATTCATGTTTCATAGTTCAGGAACACAGGTCAGTGACAAACTTCCATGGGATTCACCCCAAAGAAATTCTTTACATTCCAACATCACTTTGCATTCTGAAAGATACCAGCCTTCCCTATCTCCTCAAAATCTTTCCTGGAATCATAATTTCTGTAGAAATCTGCGTATGTCTTCTTTCTTTGTTCAGCCACACCAAACTGATAGGAAGCAGCGCCCCTCTCCCCCACCCAGGGGTGCGAGGGCAGCTCCAACGACAGGAGGGCGCAGGCGCTGGCGCAGAGGGCCAGCACCTGAGGTTCTGTCAGAGCGCTGGAAGACGTGGTGGCTGTATCCTCAGCACTGGCGTCCTTCCAGGTGGAGAGGTGGACGGCGCTCTATCAGTTAATCTATCCTAATCATCAGCATTTATGGCCTATTGATAAAATTTGCCTTTTGATTATTGCTGACTTTAATTCATTCATTTAACAGGGAATGCTATTGAATATTCACTGTGTACCCAAAGCAAGATGCCAGAAGTACAGTGTTAACAGTCTGTGCCCTCAAGCTTAGTGTTATAATTTTAAAAGCAAAAAGAGGCAAGGATGTGAAAAGCTTTAAGTCCTGGTCTTTCTAGTCAGACAGCCCTGGCTTGACCACTTAACTTTGTCAACTTGACCACTCTCGGGTTGTTTTTGCATCCATAAAATGGAAATGGTTTGCTCAGCTCTCACAATGAGTTGCTCAGGGGTAGACAGATCTCGTTAGACACAAAAGATAGAAAGTTTTAATGGCAGTAGATGCAGAACCACAAGGGTCCACCACAAAAAGCAGATGGTAATAGTGTGCTCCCGGTGGAGGTCCTGCTTCCCAGCCCCAGGATTCCCCTTGGGGACATCCAGCTGGGTGGCACCCCTAGTCAGGGAACTTCCAGCACTGGGACATGCTCTTGTCCTGCTCTGATGAAAGGGGTAGCACCCACTCTGCCCTGCCTCCTCTGCCCTGTGCCTGCCCCATTGCCCTGCACGACCAGCCCTGGGCACCCCAGGGCCATTCCTTAGGGCCGGCCTCAGCACAGCCACGGGGCTTCATTCCACCATTGCCAGTGCTTGACTCATGGGATTGTTTTGACAAGTAGTAAGGTAAAGCTTTTAGTATGGTGCTTAGCACAAAGTCAGTGCTTAGTGAAGATATTAATACTGTTAATACATTATAACAGTAATTATTAATACATTAATGCCATTCTTATTCACAGTGAAATAAAACATTAGACAAACCATTTCAGGAGCATCTTCTTTTCCCAATATGGTTAGATAACATGGTTACATAACCAAATGTACTTTCTTTTGGGTTAAACATACACCTAAGTTTTGTCTTCTAAATTTGAGAAATTCTTAACAACAAACCTCTGCTGCTGCTTTATTTTCCAGAAAAATAAATATTATCCTCTTCTTAATTCTCCTTCTCCAACCCAAGAAAACAAAACAACTCACAAAAAGTGAAACTGGAATTCTGCTAGTATTATTTGATAATGTCCATACAGTGTAATGAATGTATTTACTGTGCTCCGAGTCACCCTTCAGTACTAGAGGACTAAAATTCTTGCAGTAACAATGCTAAATTTTCACTACTTAATGCTTTGTTTACCCCCTGAGTTACTTAACTGGTCTGTGTTTTTAGTTCTTAATACAGTTTGTCCTTCTAAACAAGTTGAGGTGGCGAGGTTTGAGGGAATCGGAGGCCCGTGCTCCCCGGCCGTCAGCAGTCCTGTCCTCACTTGCAGGTGCTTTTCGGCACGGCCGACGGGCAGGTGATCGTCATGGACTGCCATGGCAGGATGCTGGCCCATGTCCTCCTGCACGAGTCTGACGGCATCCTGGGCATGTCCTGGAACTACCCCGCCTTCCTGGTGGAGGACAGCAGCGAGAGCGACACAGACTCCGATGACTACTCCCCGCCCCAAGGTAGCTCGCCGCGCCACTCCGCGGGCTTGGGCCTGGTTGGCAGAGGGGTAGGGGGTGGGAGATGTGCTGCCAGCACTACGCCCTAACGTCCTGGGAAGAGCTCGTGAGCAAAATGCCGGGCTGGGCCGCCTCATCTCTGTTCTCATTCTGACCGTCTTCTCTCCGCCGTTCTCTTCCTCACTGTCACTGGTCGGGTCGATGAAGCACCATTGGCTTCATTTTCCTAGACAGAAAATGAGACTTTATGACCTTTTCTGTGTCTCTGGGGAGTGGTGAGGATAGACCTGAAGATGAAACATGCTGAGCTGTTAGGGTAACTTCATATGTGGCATTCCACATGCCTGATGTTGATAGAGCCCGTAGCTTTGCTTGTGTGAGAAAAGGGTTATTGCTTCTGCCTGTAACAAAGGCCAGCACACTGGACAGAAATCTATGCCCCATCTTTATTTTCGGCAGAAGCTCTGCTCTCTCTCAGTTCAGAAGAACCTGTCTCCCCATCTCCTCACCCCCTTACCTCCTCACTTCCATCCCCCCAAAGCCTCACAGTGATAGTAAACCAGATTAGTTGGTATCTGGGTTTTTACACATTTAGACCAGTAATGAAAGATTGTTTCAGCCTTGGTGGGGATGATTTGGGACTCCAGCCTCCTTCACCCCGTGCAGGGCTCTACCCTTAAATGTGTGACCGACTCGGTGCAAGGTACAGCCTTTGATGTCGATACGGCCATCACCAGCCAGCACCAGCACTCAGTGCCGGCCTGCCAGGCCCTGGCTCTTCCGTGCTGTCCCATTCCTTGCACCACCACCCCCTTTTTTTTTTTTAACAAAACGAAATCATGTTCTGAAATAGTGGAAGGGACAGCTGCCCGGTGAGAGGCAGTGACATCACTCTGCTGCAGGACGTGTGCCCTCAGTCTGGACGGCGGCGCTCCTGCGCATGCTCAGGGCCATTAATGGTCTAAGGCACAGTCTGGACAGCTCCTGCCATTTCCCGTGACTGTGGGGCATGTTCGCCCCGTGAAGGGCCCGTGTGCGGAAGTCTTTAACAATTGCTCCTGGTCAGCCCCCGCCCCTTTGGGACCTGGGTGCTCTCACTTTGTCTTCCCTCCTGCCCCAGATGTGGCGATACATTATGTTTCCCAGAGAATATACCTGCACATTTATTTGTGTGTGTGTTTGTTTATTTTAGGAGAACACGATGTTTACATGTGAAAAAATTAAGATGGCTGGTGGTGTTTCAGGATCAGTGGGTCTTGAGGGAGAGTGTTTTTAGCACTCACAGATCCATTCAGGAAGTAACCGTGCCCTTGGCGAGTAGGACTCTGCCTTGAGTGAAGTGTTGATTGTTTCTTCAGCCTCATAGTAATAAAGTCAATGTCTGAAAATATTGGACTCGGCATGCTTTTAAAGTGGGACTTTACTAGATTGAACGCAGATTTACTGCTTCCCACTTCCTATCATAAGAAACAAGATCCAGACACCAGGATTGTGAAGCAAGTCCAGAGGAAGTATAAGAGCAGAATTCAGTGCCCCATTGCCTTTCTGAGAAGCAGTGGGGTGGTTTGGAGGTGGTGGAGTTTGCCTTTCAGAGAGAGCAGCCTTTCCTCGGTGATCAGGGGGTGTGAGTGCAGAAGTAGGTACTTGCAGCACCTGCGGGAGGGAAAAGGGAGCAGGGACAAGGACTCCCTGCTGGCGGGGCGGGGCGGGGCGCGGCTGCGGCGAGCGGGCAGATGCCGGAGCCTGGATTGGCGTAGGTGTGACGCCTGAAGGAGCCTTCTGAGAGAGCCCTGATTCACCCTGGCCCCTGGGAGGGGCTGACCTTTACATTTTGAAACAACACGTGGAAGAACCCAGAATGCGGTCCATCATGGCTCTTTTCTAATAGCCAGTGAGTATTCCTTGAATTTGTAAAGCAGTATGTCCTGTATGCCAGCTATGCGCTGTGGCCATAGCAGAATTCTTTGGACTACACCCAGCCTCAGCCTTCTCTGCAGATTTTGGGTCTCGGCTGTTGAAAACCTAACAAAGAACTCACGGTGGCTGCTGTGGCTGTTCATTGCCTATATCATTCAATGAAAAAACATTCAGTGTTGAAAAGCAACCTTTCTCTGTATGTTGGACCAGGATTAGAAAACATTTTCATCCCTCTTCCCACCATTCTTATACAGGGTGGGACAAAAATAGGTTTATAGTTGTGAGCACACAAAACTGAGTTCATTCTTGTATTATTATTTATTAATGTGTAATTTTCCATACCAACAACTGTGAACATACTTTTACCCAACTCTGTATGTTATAGGAGATTCACATGTTACATTTACCTCCTGTTAGAAACATATAACACATTAGCACCCAGGTTAATAAACTTCTCACACATTTTCACCACCACACATCCCAGGGTTCTTTGGTGAGCACCGTCTGCGGGCCGTGAAATTAGAAGTGGTGTGAAATGGTGCTTTATTTGGTAGCATCCCAGCCCAGTGTCCGATCTGCATAGTCAGGCAGTTTTCAGACCCTCCACAAGATTGCACCCTCATGGTCCTGGATATGGGTCCTGTGCTCATTGTCTCTTTCACTCTGTACTTTTGTCCCCACAGATGGTCCAGCAGCGTATCCAATCCCAGTGCAGAACATCAAACCGCTGCTCACCGTCAGCTTCACTTCGGGGGACATCAGCTTAATGAACAATTATGATGACTTGTCTCCTACTGTTATCCACTCAGGACTGAAAGGTACAGAGGCTGCACATGATCCCAGGCCCCAGGATCAGCCTTCCAGGCTGGGTGTCCCTGCACCCAGTACTTGTTGATTCTCATCCCCTGCAGCGACCTCTTTCTGACTTCAGGGAGTCTGTTGGTAAAGTCCATTTCCTTTCTCCCCTCTGCTTACCTGACACATTGCTCCCTAGCCTTGCCTAGAGGAGGGCTTGCTAGCCGTCAGTCTCCCTCTTCACCCTTCCTCTCCCACTGCGGCTAGAGTGGTCCTCTCTCTGGTATGCGATGTGTTTGCCTCTGGCTGACCCTGCGTTTGCAGAGTATTGGACAGCAGTCCCTGCTGTTCTTGAGGCAGCAGACAGCGCATGAGACACATTTACACAGAAGCCCTTGTAATTTTATGGCTTATTAAGGGACTGATTGTTGTGCCATAAAGTTACCTTGACAGACGTGTAGAGGTTCCACAATTGCCAGACTGAGGCATCAGTGTGGAAGTCAGCAGTCAAATACTGATACCTTCCTGACAGCCATCATGAAATGCTGGTATCTCGGGAGAAAATCAGTGGGGTTTGGACGTAGGCATTTGGACGTAGGCATTTGGAGCGGTCTGAATTTTGCAATTGGAGAATACTGCTGGTCGTGTGGTCTTGATGAGTTTGTTTGAAAAATAATTCTCTTTTCAGGGTTGAATGGTGTAACGTAAATAGAAATTCCTGGGCTGCCTCTAGTCCTCAATGTTCTAGGGACCGACTGTAATCTGAATGGGAGGTGGGGGGGGGGCGCAAACCAGAACATTCAATTTAACTCGCTAGTGTCATTCAGACTGGCCATCAGACCAGAGAGCCATGGCGGTCTGCTGCCGCATTCCAGCTGAGTTATTCAGGAATCACAGGGAAATAGAATATTAAGTCCATATACCTAACCGTTGATTGGCTGGAATGCATCATACCTGCCTGTATACCCCCATCCCCAAGCACTTAGTAATTGTATTTTTAAACTAGAGAATATTTTTAGAAGCAAGTTACTCATCTTTGGGTGTCCTATTTTGCTGTTTCAAAACTAAAATGTATGAATTATTTAGCCTATAGACTCCTTAGGAACATGAGCCATGTAGAAGTCCTTCTTTGTACCACAAAAGGGCCCTGTTAGCATCTGAGTATTGTGTGTGTGTGTGTGTGTGTGTGTGTATAATTTTGTGGTGATGATGATGAACGTAAATTTCTTGGGCTTTTTCTCAATTTTTCTGTCTTTTATGGAGCTAAAATATAGGGATGGTCATCATAAATTGTAAATTTTTCCATATATTTAGTAATTTAAGCTCTACTTTTTTCCTTCAAAATTCTATTTTCAAGTCTTTTAACCAAGTTTATTCATTTAATCAGAACCGGCCTCTAGTTCTGGAATCCTGGACTTTGTTCTCTACTAAATATCTGAACACAGTTGCCACTTAATTCCTTTTTATTCTTTATAGAGTGAATTCTTCTGATTTTTTTTTTAATAACTTGTCTACCTGTTAAACTTTATTTTTTAGTCCTTGGGTGTATTATTTTGGTCTCTGTTTATCAGACTAAATCGTATTGGAGCAGCATTGGCACCACATTCCCACCACATCTGCAGCAAAGGGATCAGGAACATACGTGATTTGGGCAGATGACCCAAAGTAGCCTTCCCTAATATGAAATTGTTTGACTCGAGTTTCATTCTAAGTCCTATCTTATATCCATCCACTTAGTCTTTCTCTGTTACTGTTTCAAAAATTATCAGAGAACTTTAGTGAAGAAAGGTGACTTACGATATTCTTCAGTTTATCACACACACCACAATTAGGTCATGTGCAAAAGAACTTGGAATGCCCAGTAGCTCATCGCCCCCATGACCACCCCTTTTCCTTGCCACCTATCAAAACTCCATCTTCTGTGTGTGTGTGTGTGTGTGTGTGTGTGTGTGTGTGTGTGTGTGTGTGTGACCAAGCAGCCTGGGGTCCTGCTGCCTGCCACCGTGCACAAGCATAACACAAGGATTGGTAGAGAAGGAAAAAGGTTTTTATTAATAGGGTACCCAATTTGCGGGGGGCTGGAAGCATTCCTGCTCCAAGCCAACCTCTTCCACAGGACACAGAAATTCCCTTGTTTCCAGAAAGACAGAAACCCAAACCCATGCCCAGAAGTTCCCTCATCATGCTTATCTGTCCTTTTTTCGAGCCCAAAGCAGCTACATGAATAGGTCTCCATCTCTCCACCTTGCAGGCTCTCCCTCTCTGGGGTGCGCTCTGTGGGTTCCAGCATCACCATCGCCTTGCTTGCCTCTCTCTCCCCTGGGTCCCGGGCGCCCGGCCCAGTCACTGCAGCTGGTCATGCCAGGGGCTCAGTCCCCTGGGCCCCGGAGCCCAAGGCCGCTCACACTCCTGGTGCCTAGGAGCTTCCCCTGGCCTGTGCATGTGGGCCCCTCTCAGGGCCATAGCCCTCCGGGCCCTGCAGATGTTCCACACCCCACCCCAACTGGGGTGAGGAAGAGAACAAGCTCCTGCGCACCACCCCCTTTTAACTCTTTCCCCCAGAATCCCACACCCTGACAGCGTCCAAATCCCAACCAGTTTGGACCAATATCTGCCGTGTTTGTCAGCCCCAGTGTCTTTGCCTCTTCCAGCTGCCATTTTCCAGAAGGGAGCATTTTTTGCAGCTGCACGCAGATGCACAAGCATCTTGACCCAAGGTGGGGTGTTGGGCCCCCACAGCCCAAACAGGCTCTGTTCATCCTGTGTCCTGCGCTGCTCAGCTGCTGGGAAAAGGGCTGCTTTGCACAGCCACCTTTGGCTTGGTTTACAGTTGTCCCAAGGCACAAAGCCTATCCAACCCCAGCTCCAGTTTCAATCTCTGGTTGCCTTTGGCACTTCCTATAACACCCTCCCTTTTCGGGGAGGAGGTGCTGGCTAATCCCCACTCCTTAGAGATGCGGCCAGACCCCTGTTACAGGTGTACGGGAGGTGGGGGGTGATTTTGCTTTGCAGATGTTTCGTGAGCAACCTTTGCCTAAATGAAAAATCTGAGAATCCCAAATTTGGGGACTTTTTATCATGCAATGAACCATAGACTGGTTCACCTTTTGGGGAGGTTTTACCATTTTTTGTGACTTTTACTCTTTCTTGAGGATGTAGCAGAGGAAAAACTTTTCCCTCTACCCATCTGAGGTTCTGCAGGTGGAGCCCTCTAAATTGGACCGACAAAAGACAGACTGACAAGAGAACAGCAACCAGACGTTTGACTTGGACATTGTGCTCACTCAAGGAAGCACTCAGAGATGCGTAACTCAAAGGGGTGATTAGAACATGGGATTATATAGCATGTTAACCAAAGAATGATACATTTTAGAGAAGTGACAAAAAGGAAGAGGACAAAGTTTCTAGGGCAGCAAGTTGTGGGAACTAATGCAAGATAAGGACTAGTTCATAAAGTTTGTTTTGTAGATTCTTTGGGTGCCTTCTCTGGGTTGATAAGGGTCTAAATTTGTCTCTGGTGATTAATTTGTCTTTCCTGGTGGGAGGTCATTCACATTTACAAATTTATGTCTTGCTTTTAGGCAAATGAGGAGAGACGGAGAGCTTGTTTTTTATCTGCTTATTCTCAAAATAATCCTTCTGCCAGTGAGGCATATTTTGGGTGGTGTATTCTGCTACCCTTCAAAGGAAAATAGTTTTGTCAGTAGTTCAGAAATTCTCTGACCAAAACAGTGTGTCCCTGGTAGTAAGGCAAGCTTTCAAAAGCATGTCTCTCTTCACTCCACATTGCCTTAAAATAAAGGAATTCAAACTCTATACTTTGTTTCTTGTTTTGCAGAATTTCCTCTTTTTATCCTTTCACTGAGCACACCAAGACAGTCAGGAGTACAGAGGATTTGGTCAGTGGGCTGACTGTTCCTGCAGCCTTGGCTGATGAGATTTCTCTGATTGTCCTCATCGACAGATGTTTTTTTTTTCAGTCCTTACTGTGCTCACTATAAGTCCTCTTATTAAAGAAGACACTTTACCTGCTTTTTTACCTTCACACATGTCACTATTTAATTTGTTTCTCTCTTCTTTTCTCTCTCTATATGCGGACATAGCGTGTGGACATACACGTGCACACACACACAAGTACCCATACATCTAACGATGAACAAAAAGGCGACTCTTCAACATGGACGTTTAAGGGGGAAGGCCTACGTGAACCTCAGACTTCCACCCAGCAGCTCCAGCACAGGCAGGGCTTGGAAGAAACCCTTTTCTTTCTCCCCTCAAGCTTGGCCGCCCCTTTTTGACCCAGCACCACTACCACACAAGGGGCTCTTGTTACCACCGAAGAACCGCATTTTCTAATCGCTGACTGAGTGTAAAAATTTGACCCTCCAGGGTCAAAAAAGATTCCGAAAAAAGCGTCGTAAGATTGTCTGGCCAAAATACAGCAGAACAGTGTAGTTCTGCTGATTTTCTTTGTGTAAAACGAGGAGACCAAAACTCCACACACCCTCAAAGTCATCAAGAAAATTTGGTGTCTCAGGAGAAGGGGCACCTTTTGTGCTTTGGATGCCCCTCATCCCTAGAGACGTAGCTGAGGGATAATGAGAAGAAGTTCCTGGGTGAAGCGTTAGTTCATTTCTTGTAAGTTATGTTTAAAAAGAAAACTTGGAGATTCAAAAACAAAGTTGTTACTAAGACATGGGGCAAAGATATTGGGGGTTATTTTCTAAATAATTCAGACGTAGCTTTCCAAAATTTCTGGCACAAAGGTTCTGTCCTGATCACATCTAGGCTTCTATATCCTTCACTCTTCTTCATTATAGTGACATCTAGAAATTGAATGACTATTTTATTTTCTTTCATTCTACTCCAATTTATGAGGATTTTAAACTCCAGTGCTAGGAATTCAGCTCCTCAGAGTACTCCTGTACCCCTGGTTGAAGTTTAACAATCCAGGGTTTTTCTTTCGTAGTCCCACTCATGGATCCTTCACATCCAGGTGTTATGCGCGAACCTATTTCCCCTAGGACTGGTGTCCCTGTCATGTGGATCAGGACTGTTTATGCTGTCTGAGGGCCCAAACACTGCTGTGTCCTTTCATGCTAGTAGCAGTATAATTGTTAGAACAAGAAGTGTCCTGATGATTGTGGAACTCCCTCCTTTTAAAAGACTGACTTTCCTTTGTAGGCTTTTAACTGTCTCGGGATAACATTATAGCTGTGTCAAATGCGCTCAGAAAGAGTCGGGAGGCTTTGTTTAGAAATAAATGGCAAAGATTTATTGAAGGGTCTTAGCCTTTGTAAACTGGAAACATAGCTAGGCAATACCCAGACTGTTCAACAGAGAATGAAAAGCTGAGGATTCTTAGAGTAAAAAGTACATTCTTGAAAAGAATCAGTCCTGCCTTCTTAGCAACTGCATCAGCTCAAGATGTTTATGTTCAGGTGCCCAGTGGTCTGGACAATGGAACAGTTTCCTCTTGAGGTCATTGAGATGGTCATCCAGGGTCTGATGTGTGTTCGGGCATTGATGCACAGTGACCCAAAGTGCATCCAGGCATTGAAGCAGGACTGGACAGTCCAGAGGGTTAAGTTCCTAGGCTCATTAAAGCAACAATAGAGTTGTGTCCTCGGGCCTCAGCCTGCAGTGTTGAATAATTTAGCAGCTTGACCATAGTGACTCCCTTTAATTTATTTACTGTTCCTCAGCTGTGTTAGAGGAGTCCCTGAGCATTTGCTTGTAAAGACTTGGACTCATTTGTAACTCAGTCGGCCCCGCCTACTAAACAGAATCACCTTGAGTGCTCAGGGCTCATCTCTGAGCAGCCTCTGAAGGGGATTGTGTGTCTGGGTTGGCCCTGCGGTCCAGCAAACCACTTTTCTGTTGGGAAAAGACAAAATGCAAAGATTCTTACTAAAGTGAATAAATAGCAAAAAGAATGGTGCAGGTATTCACTCACCCACTAACGAAAGTGGGTCAGCCAAGGAGCCCTGGGAATTCAGTGCTGTTGTCTTTATTTCTGCAGTATTGCAGGGATGTCTCTGCCCTAAATAGTGGTAGACTCCCTGTTTTTGGTTAAGCTCCTCCTTTTGACTTCCTTGTGCTTCCAAAGGTACCATCCAGAGCAGATCATTTCAGTGTCGCTGTCACGACAAGGCTCTCCTAGGCGATTGAGGCATTTGGACACCTGGAGCGCACAAGCGTGTGCCCAGGCCCTCTCGCTTCCCCGTCATCTTCTAAAAAATCTGTTCCCCAAGTTTTGTATTTGAGTCTTTTAAGTTATTTTTCATTTTCTGGTTTGTACTTCAACCTTATTCATATCCTTTTGTAAGAAAAAGACGGGGGGAATTCCTCTCATTGATGTTTTCAATCTCTCAAGTTGTAGTTTTTTCATTTGGTACTTGTCTATAGCTACTTCCACTCAGCCCTCTGCTACCTCTGTCTCTAGTTTATTTCTTTTTTTCTTTTTTTAAATGATTTTTTAAATTTACTTTTAGAGAGAAGGAAAGGAAGGGAGAAAGAGAAGAAGAAGAAATACAAGAGGTACATTGATCTGTTATGCGCCCAACTGGGGACCTGGCCTGCAACCCAGGCATGTGCCCTGACTGGGAATCGAACCTGTGACCTTTGGGTTCACAGGCCAGCATGCAATCCACTGAGCCACACCAGCCAGAGCTCTGTCTCTAGTTTCTGTCTGTGGCTGACTTGACAAGCAAACTCTGGCTTCCCTGGGTCTGGAGAGTTGTCTTGTCCCAGGGTTATTGTCCAGTCTTCAAGGGAAGTTACGTGCCTCAGTAACCTCAGTTCAGAATGGCCAGTGTTCATGTCAGTATCGGTATTGCTTGTGAATAGGAGAGATGCCATGACCATGTGTGTCCTGTTAGAGCCTAAGAGCTGTCGCATTCTAGACCCCGCTGCCATGGATGGCCCTGTCCAGTCATTCTGCAGAAGGGGCCGCTATGTTCCAGACTTCAGGGAACTCTGTGTAAGCCACATACAGTGGAAGGGTCCTAAGGAAGAAGAGCCATGCTGTGAATCTTAAACAGTGCTAACAGCTTGTTTTACCAGCAAGGCTAAGTAACGGGCTCACCTGGGATTAGGCAAACCATTCTGAGAGCCATTTCTCGTAGGCACTGAAGGGTAGAGGAGGGGCCTGCATCTCCAGTGTAGGCATTTCTGACAGCGCCAGCACCCAGCAGAAATATTTATCTTCTTTTCTAAGCCCCACCACATCAACTGTTTAATGAGAGTAGGGCCTTCATATGTAGATGTATCCTTTACTTCAGCATTATCTACCCAGTAGTACACAGAATTCAAATGAGTATAAAATTAGGCTTTGCTCTTGATTTGTCTTACCTGCTCTCCCAGACTTCTGCAAGTCCTATTATGGAAATGCTGGCATTAGAGATAGATATTTAACATGCCAGCTTTATCATATGTGATCTTTGCCTGATTTAGTTATGTTTCAAGGGAACTGCAGTTCCTAACCAAGTAATAAACATCTGTTTTTAATAGAGTCTCTGTTGTCTTCAGAGAGAGAGGTAGCTAATGCCTTCAAGAGAGAAAAGGGAAGAACCACTGTTATATTGGCTCAGCATCTCTGTTTTTTAAACTACCTAAGTGAACGTTCAGAGCAGGTCACGTCTTCAGGCCAGCCACTTCTTTGTGATTTCAGAGGTGGTGGCCCAGTGGTGCACGCAGGGAGACCTCCTGGCAGTTGCTGGTATGGAACGGCAGACCCAGCTTGGCGACCTTCCCAACGGCCCTCTCCTGAAGAGCGCCATGGTCAAGTTCTACAACGTCCGTGGGGAGCACATCTTCACACTGGACACGCTTGTGCAGGTACGGATGCGCGCAGGGCGTGCTGCGGCGCCCTGTGTCAGTGCCCCTGGGCCCCCGTGAGTGCCTGTGAGCTGGTTGTACTCGCTGTGATTGTCTTTGGCAGATTTTAATCTTTTTAATCTTATGTTGACTTTAAATTATGGGATATGAACCAGGAAAAGTAGGAAGAAAGACATTTTTGTCTTTTAACCAAAATTCCTTATTTCATTGCCCAAGCAAATGAGTGGACAGTAAACAGAGTGACCTGGTGTCGATCATCAGTCTGAAGGAGAGAAATCAGACGCGTGCAGAAGTAAATGGTGAATCTTTGCTTATTCACTCAGATTTTATGTTTGTTATGTCAGTGATATACTTTTATAGTTCAATTCAGCTATTGTTAAACAATGTTTAAAAGCTTAAAGGTCTTTAAGAAAGTGTGCACCGGTGAACCGCCTTCTGTTTGTGTTTATGTTCCGGAAATCTTCAGACCAGCTCTTTTCTTGTCTCGGTCAGTTACAGTAGGTCCTCAGCAGGGCGTACTGGAGAGAGAGCTGCAAGTGATGGGGATGATGGTAAACTAGGGACTTACGTCCTAACCTTACCCAGTTCATCAGAGAGGCAGGTGTACCAGGTAGGGATATTTTGTAATTAGATGCAGGCGTTAATTACTTACATATTTTCTTTATTTAAAATTATAGTAAAATACACATACATAAAATTTACTACCTTAATCATTTTTAAATGTACCGTTTAGTAGTGGTAAGTGTATTCCACTGTGGTGTAACCAGTCTCTAGAACTTTTTCATCTCATAAATCTGAACTTTATACCATTTTGTTTCTGTGAATTTGACTACTCTACATACCTCATATAATTGGAATCATACAGTGTCTGTCGTTTTGTGACTGCCTTATCTCACCCATTATAATGCCCTCAAGGTTCATCCACGTTATATAGCCTGTGTCAGAATCTCCTTCCTTTTTAAGGTTGAATAATACACCATTATAATATATAAATATATTTATATTTATAGATACATAAAATACATAAATATAAACACATATATAAATAATATACATACATGTATATAAATAAATATATACATATATTTATATAAATATAAACACACACACACACACACACACAAAGGGTTTCTTTCACCTTTTGGCTATTAGTGATGATACCGCTGTAAACAGGTATACAAATATGTCTTTGAAACACTACTTTAAAGTCTTTTGGATAAATACCCAGTAGGCTTTCTGGATCATATGGTAGCTCTAGTTCTAACTTTTTTGAGAAATCACCATACCATTTTTCATGGCATTTGCACCATTTTACAATCCCAGTAACAGTGCTTAAGTTCTACTCTGCATCCTCACCAACACTTGTTATTTCCTGCGTTTTTAAAATATTTTTTTCTTTTATTGATCCTAGAGAGGGGGGAAGGGAGGGAGAAAGAGAGGGAGGGGAACATTGATGCAAGGAAGAAACATCTCTTGGTCGCCTCTCATACGTACCCCTGTTGGGGATGAAACCCACAACCCAGGCGTGTGCCCCAACTAGTAATCAAACCATCAGCCTCTGGCTTTGCAGGACAATGCCCGATCAGCTGAGCCACGCTGGCCAGGGCTCTGTGTTCTTTTTATAGTAGCCATCCTCATGGGTGTAGGGTTTTGATTTGCATTTCCCTGGTAATTATGTTGAGCACCTTTTCATATGCTTTTCATCTGCTTACTGGCCATTTGTGCTTCTTTGGAGGGATGTCTCTTCAAGACCCTTGCCAACTTTTTGTTGTATTATTTGTTCTTTTGTTATTGAGTTACAGTATTTAAATGTATCTTTTGACAATGCAGTATCCTCTGTGGGCAAATAAGCAGAATTTGTTTACTCAAGTACCCAGCAAACACGTTTTGAGGGACTGCTGTGTTGCTGGCACTGAGCTCTAAGCTCTAAGTGCCAGTGCACAGAAATACAGCTCAGGAACCTGTCAAGACAGTAAGCCGAAGCTAAGTCCCAGCCAAAGCTTGAGATGGCGATTTGAAAGTGAGTCAGTGCTGACCATGCCTTCTTGGCCTTCCCCAGAGGCAGAAGTGGTACAGACAGCCTAAAATTAGGGATTGGGATATTAATACAGCAGAAAGACAAAACATAGAAGATTTAGGGAAGTACTAGGGATGTTACAAAACCTGGGTGGGTAGGTAGGTAGATGCTTTATGACCTGAGACTAGGGCATGTCAAGTCACGAAAAAGCATGTTCAGGAGAAGTGGTGAAAACAGGATGGGAATTTGTGGTTGGATAAGAAATGCAAATTCCTATTCCTATTTTAGAAGTGAAGTAGTTGTAAGTGACGAAGCAAACAAACCAGGGAAGAGCTAATGCGAAGTTGCGTAGAGGCCATTAGTGTGAGGCCAAGGTTGTGTGGCAAAATCAGCGTAGGTACTGGAGTCCCTGCAGATTTGGTACTGAAGGAGGCTAACCTTGTTTACCGTCTGAGCTTCCTGCTAGTGCATTGCTGGAACATCGGGGGTGTTCAGCGAGCACTCATTCAGTGGGGTTGATGGATGGACAGCCGTTAACATATGCATTTTTTCATTTTTCCTGTTGGTCTTTTGAACCAGTAGGCCAGGTGCCCTTCTCAATCAGGTCTCATTCCAGCTTCCAATGTATGGCCTAAACGGAAGACAAGAAGGAGAGGGTGGGAGTTTCCAGCTCTTGCTGAGGTAACAAGGCTTTTGGGTTTATTAGGATATCTGTAAGTCGTGGTGCTGAAGCACACAAGTGCCCGCAGCACCATCTGCTCTTCTCTCCGACTCAGGGCGCCCTTCCTGGCTGCGTCCTGGTCCCACCGCAGGGAGGGTCCTGTCCTGCCATCTCGGCTTGGGAAAAGCCGCCCTCCTCCATGCCAGACCAGTCACGTTCTTTAGTAAACCTGCCCAGCAATTTTGACCCTTCTTCCTGTGAACCCTTGGGGTACTTAATACCTCTAGCATGTGTTACACTTTCCTGTCTACTTACCTTACCTGCCTGAAGTCAAAGACCACGTTTTCTTAATTTTTTTTTTTTTTTTTTTTTTTTTTGGATCTTTACTGTGCCTGGAGCATAATAAGGCCTCAATGGCCTAACCCCTGCAAAAGATCGCATCAACTGTGACATGAAAGTGTCATGGGCCTTTATTTATATTGTCTGGGTTTGGGGATAAGAGAGGAGCTCGGCTTATCTTCCTTTGGGGCAAAATATCCATACAGTATCTCAGCATTTTCAGTAAATGATTGATCTTTTTTTTTCACTAGAAGGCCCATTTCAACCATTGGAAAAAATGCTTCAATAATGTAAAGTTAAATAATGATGCTATTAAAAATCAAGTACAATATTAATTATATATAGCACCAACTTACTCTTGTCTGGAATGATTCTAAAATCACGTTATCTGTGCTATGCTATTCAAGGAGTCCAGAGGCACAGACATTTTTATAGCAGGAAAGAAGTTAGACAGTTTATTGAGCTGTTCATAAAAAAGAAATGCAGTTTAGAATGGATAATGAATTTCCAAGTTAATTAGATTGTAGGTTACTGTGTACAAAGCCGTTGCCAGGCACAAACTCGTGGCAGCTTCAACTTTTAAACTGGATTCTCAGCGATGCCTGTGGCTGAAGCTCTTATACGGAAATGTACTATAATTTATTTTCCTTTTCTGCCTACCTGCTGTAATTTAAAATCCTGTAATTTATCTCATTAGCTGGTATCTGTGCCAATCTATCTATAAAGGCACATCTGATAATCTGACACAGATTTTCAGAGTTAGCACTATGGACTGAAACTGCTGACATCAGTTAATATGGGTCTGAGTTGTTGTTTGGTTGATCAGTTTTGTTCCATTTTGTTTTAGTTTTATAAACTTTTTCTTGCATTAAAGGCAAGTGGGAGAGCTCACTTTATATTCTATAAGGTTCATTTATTGATGTAAGGTATTTGGGTAGAAAATTAAGAGAGAAGGGCCCTGGCCAGGTAGCTCAGTTGGTGGGAGCATCGTCCTGACCCACCAAGACGTGGGCTCGGTCGCCCTGTCAGGGCCCGTGCAGAAGGCACCCGGTGAGCTCCTGGATAGGTGGAGCAGCAAGTCGATGTTTCTCTCTCTCTCTCTCTCTCTCTCAAAATCAATAAATAAAAATAAATTAAGAGAGAAGGAAGAAGAAGGTAGGTGTGGGAACTGAAAAATCAAATAAAGGATTGCATTTATGGTCATAGACTTCTGTGCTCTTGAAGGAGAATCCTTTAGAAAAAGTATGTTTGCCTCCTTTTGTTGAGGATTAACTCTACCTGTTCTCACGAAGCTGCCATAGGTGTACTTTTCCTGTTTGTTGTAAAGAGATGAGAAAGTCCTTCCCCGGGTTATATGCTTACAAAATACAAAATACAAAATGGTATATCCTTTTAAAACTGAGGTTTGGGTCAGTGAATCTCAAGCTAGTTTGTATTACTGTAACTTAGTTGGTGGCCAAACCAACACAATTTGTTGGTGACCAGCCACCAGCTTAGTTTGACAGTGCACTATTCTGGACAGTTTTCCTCCTTTGCACGTGCTCACAAGCATTAAACATGCCCTTCTACTGGGGGTTCTTCCCTATTTTTCTAACACAACCTTAGTTATGGCAAAGGTACCACTATCTATTTTATACCTTACTGTCATGCAGGGAAGACATGCTATAAAAACTAAACTAAATGAGCAGCCCCCACACCCCATACTGGAGGAAACTGTCGCTGGCTTGGGCAAGTAAGTGAATGCTCTGCCCCAGAGCGCTTTACTAGGTATCCTTGTCCTGCTCTTAGGAGACGGCATTTCCTGGTGACTGTGCCGCAGACAGCAGTTTTTCCTTTGAGGCCCTGCAGGATTCACTTCTCCAGGCTAAACGGTTTCAGCTCTTCTCTGCTGGTCCCAGCTTTCAGTCCTTTCAAGTCCTTTCCCTACTCCTTGCGAAGAGCTGTGTCTCCCTCCGTGACGCCCGGTGCAGTACGTGGCGGCACAGCCTTCCCTCGCCCTCCAGGCGCGCCCCCTGCTGTCATGCGCGGGCCTCACAGCTGCTTAGCCGATTCCTCTCCACTGTGGGCCCGGGGCCTGTGGCTTCTCTTCTGCCGAGATGAATCATTCCCGGCCTTATCCGTTTGCTGTTTGTGCAGCCTCTCTCCCCTCTGGTCTGTTTGCCTTTTCTACAGACACATGGTTTGGCTTGTTTCTTAGTAAAATAGCCTGACTGATAGGACTAAGGAGAGACTGAAGGGAGAACTTGGATTCATCTGTCTGTGGTGGGCAGTTAAGTTCTTTAGTGGGACATCACAGAGGTTTCCTTGGCTGTGTCAGCATATGCACGTGAGCGGCAGTAAGATGAGCGCCCACTGGGGAGAAAGGAGGGGGGAGCCAGCTCTCCCGCCTGTGTCCGCACACTGTTCCTCACTTGTCAGCGTCTGCCCCACCTATGTTAAGTGGGACCTGCGTGGTAGGGTTGGGAGGATTAAATGAGTAACATGTGCTTATTAATATAACTTCAGGTGCAATTGGAATGCGGCAAGTTTTTAAGACGTCATTATTTTTGCTATGATCGTGTCACAGATGGGCACAGGTAACCAGGTTCTTGGTGATCGCAGACAAAAAATTGAATCGAACACACAGAGTTTGTAGCAGAATGCAAGAAAAAGTAGATTTATTAAGCCACACAGAACATGGGAGCAGGCCAACTCTGAGCAGAGTGGAGCGGAGCGGAGCCTAACAGCAGCAGCAGCAGCAGCAGCAGCAGCAGCAGCAGCAGCAGCAGCCCCGAACTCAGGGGCTAGACGGCTTTTATTACTTAGGGTGGGTCTCCCACAATGCTAATTTATTATAATGCTATTATAATGAAGCAGGGGTCAGGTAGCATCTTCTGCACATATGCATTCCTGATTCACTAGGATTCAATGCTATTCTAGATGCAGAAACTACCAGTCTTAGAACAGGGTCTCCGCCCTTCATCCATGTTCTTTATCTTAGCCCTGGGACACCTCTGGAGTTTCCTGCTTCCTGACTATCTCCTGCCTCAATAGGTAGTGATAATATTTGTAAATGTAACAGGGTCTTTATCCAGTTGGAAGATCTGTATACCTGGCTTAAGTTTCTTTGTACAAAGATATGAGATACACACTTATCATAGTGAAAGTTTTATATAAGACCCTTCCAAAACATGCAGCTACCTCACAGACATGGCTACTATGAACAGCAGAACTAGTGGGGCGGGGTTGGGTGGGGAACTGAGGACGAATATGTGTGGTCCCTGCCTGTAACCGTTGGCACAGCAGGTAGAGGGACTCAGAGTAATGGGAAGTTGCGGCGGGCGGGCGTCGGGGGGCGGGGAGCATCTTGTATTCCTGAAGCTAGTTCCCACCCATGAGGTTGTGCTAACTGAAAAATGTTCCTTGTTACCAGAGCTCTAGGCTGTAAATATCTTAGAAGGCAGAGGGTTGGGACTGGGGGTGGTGGTTATGTCTTTAAGATTAATCATGATTTTAGTACTAATAGAACCTCTATCCTGATCTACACTCATGGGGGTTGATGATACCGAAAAAATTTTTTTACCCATTTTTTATGTGTTGTCTGCACTGTTTTCAGCAACAAGTAGTCTTGCTCCAAATTAACAGGCCCCTCTATGGGGTCTATCCTCTGTATGGGATCCTCTTGTAAGGAGGCCCCTCTTGGAAGTGCTCTGGAAGCCCCCAGACTTGAGCACCGGGCTCCCCCGGTCCTCGAGGGGCTTTGGCTCTCCCACACCGCGCTGCCCAGCCCCTCTGATGGACGTGGGAGCTGGACTAGCCTCAGCCTGGCAGTTTATTTTGAAGTTGAAACCAGGATTAGCTGACCCTGGGGGCTATTTTAAGCAAGTGTCTTCATGTGTTCCTTTTATCTTGATATTTGTCACTAAAGTGTTGTGAAAATTCTGTCTCTATCTGTCACTTGTATAAAAGATCTGGTGTCTGGTATCCCCACTTCTGATCTTTGAAACCCCTCAAGACCTCATTAAATTAGAACTCCATCTGTCTGGATCAGAATGAACAAATTCTCTCACTGCTTCTCCATCACAGCCCTTCACTTTTTTTCTTCCTTGGCTGATCTCACTTATATGGCTCCCCTGAGCTTTGAGTTTTTTGGTACGAGTAGTTTCTATGTGTACGTTTGTATGTCAGCCTGACTTTTCAAAGCAAGTGGTGGCCACATATCCCTAGAAAGGCCATCTCAGGAGCTGCGCTCTCCTCTGTCTCTCCCGTCCAGGTAGCTCTCCACCTTCTCTTGGCCCCGTCAGCTCAGGATGGCGAAGAGTAAGAGCAGCTCAGCGTCTGTGGGTTCGATTCCAGGAGCACTTTGACATCATTCACCTCCTTTACTGCTCACAGCTCCTGCTGACTCATGAGAAAGTAGATTGCAGGGCTTATGTAATGCCCCAGGTCACGCAGTTCCTTCCCCAAATCCAGTGTTGACTTGACTCTGAAACGCTGCCTGTCAGGACAGAAGGGAGGGGTCCCCTCGTCCCCCTCCTCATCCCCTGCCCAAGCTATAGGAACCACCGCCGGTGACTTGAGGATCCAGATAATCACAGCTTCAGTAAGGAATACGGATGACTGAACCCCAAGCTGATTACATCTTCTGGTGGAAACGTTGTTATACAGAGCTGCGTTAGATTTGGTGGCACCAAATTAAATGAGATAATACATGTAAAAGAACTTTATAAAACTATTCCAATACTCTCTTTGTACTCTGGCCTAGGATCTAACCACTTTTCAATGAAAGTACTGAATTTTCATAATACAGTATTTAAGCATTCTCTCTTATACTTTTTAAAATCAATTATTCTTAAAAACTACTAGGTCACTTTATTTTGCTTGAGACAAGTGTGCATGACCTTCTTTGCTTAAAAGAGCAAAAGCTTACACGTGGTCTCCCCTCACTTCCTGGCAGCGCCCCATCATCTCCATCTGCTGGGGCCACCGGGACTCCAGGCTGCTGATGGCGTCAGGGCCAGCCCTGTACGTGGTACGTGTGGAGCACCGGGTGTCCAGCCTGCAGCTGCTGTGCCAGCAGGCCATCGCCAGCGCCCTGCGAGAAGACAAGGATGTCAGCAAGTTGGCCCTGCCCCCCCGCCTCTGCTCCTACCTCTCCACTGCCTTCATCCCTACCATCAAGGTAGCGCTTTCCTCCCTTCCTCCCTCCTTCCAACTCCCCCTCCCAGCCTTGCAGAGAGGAGGGCAGTGACAGGGAAGACGGCTGAAAATCCCAGGGCAAGAGCACAGAGGTGTCTCCCCTTGACAAGACAGTCTGGGTGGAGAAGGCGTGTGCCCCCGAGACTCGCCGCGTGCGGTGGCATTAGCTTTCTCATGGCACAGGCAGTGCTCCGGGCTTGGCTGCTGTGCCATCCCGATGGTCAGTCTGTCTGATTCAACCCTGACTTCCTGGCAGATGCTGCCATTATTGTGTAACTTTCTCCATGCTACGTCTGGAAATGGCCAGGATCGAACCCCAGCCCCCTTTTAGGGCCCGCCATCCTCACCACTGTGCTGAGGAGGAGCAGCCCCCACCCAGCCGCGGGCTGTCGGCCTTCTGTATCCTGATTGTAACTTGAAAACTGCTCTGTGTTTTACGATAGTTTGTGGTATGTATCTGCCAGGGGCTGTTCACGTCCACACCTTTAGCCTTAGGTCATTTCCTTTTAACCTTAGGTTCTTTTCTGCATTCTTTTCTTTGTATTCTGTTTCTGCTTCTAAGTATTAAATTGACTTATCGCTTACTTTTTACCTGATCAGAGTTTTAGAATCTTAGGTGATTTTTTTTTTCAAGTTGCTTTGCAATCTTGCTTCTGCACCAATAATTCTCAACCCAGCTGCACGTTAGAATACCTGAGGAGTTTTCAGAAAATACACGTGCCTAGGCCCATCCCCCAGAGATTCAAATTTCATTGTCTCAGTTGGGATCCTCCTGGTCAGGTGTTTTTTTAAAACCTCCCAGGACGTTGTGACGTCTGCCCAGCCTTATAAATTACGGCTTCATCCCGAGTAGTTAGCCTTCCCCAGTGAGGCTGCCGGGAGTGCTCTCTGACAGAGTAGCCAGTGAGCTGACACGCTCTCCTCTCTTTTCGTGTCCTACCTCCAGCCCCCGATTCCAGATCCCAACAACATGCGGGACTTTGTCAGCTACCCTTCGGCTGGCAACGAGCGCCTGCACTGCACCATGAAGCGCACGGAGGACGACCCAGAGGTCGGCGGCCCATGCTACACCCTCTACCTGGAGTACCTGGGTGGGCTGGTGCCCATCCTCAAGGGACGGCGCATCAGCAAGCTGCGGCCGGAGTTTGTCATCATGGACCCCCGAACGGATAGCAAATCAGGTGGGCTCCCTCCCCGCCTGACGACCCAGTCGTCAGGTGTGGTTCCTGACAACCCATGCAACGAGAATGCCCATTTTTGGAATGCGAGCCTGTGTGGGCTGGCATGGAACCTCCTCAGAGCTACTCTGTTTCCAAAATCCTATTGAAGTTAATGATTCTGGAAGTGTACTCTTTGATGGGGCATTTAACAGCTTTCCATGAGGCTTGCAGTGGTTGGGGCTTTCGGTGAAGGGGAAGCTGGCACAGGGCTCTGGAGTGATAGCTGCCCCTTCCCGAGGAGGGTGTTCAGTGAGCGCCTGGATGTGCTGTTGAGATGCCCTGCACCCCAAAGAGAGGTCAGTCTCTGTCCCCTACCCCCACGAATGAAGAATTAAAACCCCCAAACCGTCAGCCTGCTCCTCAGCCTTCTGCTGCAGTCCTGCTTCTGTCCCTCACTAATCGACTGGGGACTGCTTTTTACGTGGTTACCAGGGAACATTCCTTGCTCATTTGTAAAGATCTTGCCTGGTGAACAAGTCGTTCCTTATAGAATCCTCCCCTCTACCTGAGCATCATTACTCAGGTGTCCTCCAGGTGCTCACTGCACACATGTCTCTGCAATTCTGCTTTGTGAGCCTCCAGAGGGAAGGACTTTGTCTTTTCTGTTTGGACTGACTGTGCCTGCCCAGTGTCCTTAGCCAGTGACTGTCGAGGCTTGCATGTGCACCAACACAAACGTTTTGCCACTCCCTGTGAAATTTTGCTCAGCACCAACAGCAGAATGAGCGGCACTGTCCTCTGTGCCTGTCGTCTGTCCGTTGAGCTGCTGGGATCCTGGGAGGCACACAGCAGTCTTCCTGGGGCTCTGTCTTCCCCTAAACCTTGAGGACCTGGGGGGAAGGAACCGGGGCATCTCTGTGTCCCTGGGGCCTGGCAAGCGCCTGGCCTAAAAACAACACAAATTAAATGGGGTCTGTTTGCATTACTTTACACTCGCTCTTTCCACCTCTGAACTCCCATTTACTCTCCCTCCCAGTAGACTGGCCTTTGCTCCTCGCTGTGTCCCTGAAGCCACTGTGATGTGTGGTATGACCAGAGTTATCATGGTGTCACGTGCAGTGGGCTCACTTGGGATTTTGATGTTTTTTGTCTTTTTTTTTTTTTTTTTAAGATTTATTTATTTTTAGAGAGGGGAAGGGAGGGAGAAAGAGAGGGAGGGAAATATCAGCGTGTGATTGCCACTCGCATGCCTCCTGCTGGGGTCCTGGCTCGCAACCCGGGCCTGTGCCCTGACTGGGAATTGAACCGGCGACCCTCTGATTCACAGGCCAGCATTCAATCCACTGAGCCACACCAGCCAGGGTTTTTTTGTTTTGTTTTGTTTTCCTTCTGACACATGTGATGAACAAGTACCAAGAACAGGGAGGCTGAGTAGAAGAAACGGAGGCTGGTAGGGAGGCAGGTGGAGAAGAGGGGAGGGGGGACTTGGAAGGAAGGAAGCAAAGTGAGAAAACCAGAAGGGCAGTGGATGTGAACTTAAAAGGAAAATGTGGTTTTAGGGGACGGAGGAAGAAGGGAAACCAGGGGTGACTAGAGGTAACTGAGGAGGGTTGATGGTTAGAAGTGACCAGAGAAGGGGAAGGATGTGTGAAAGGTAATGAACCAGAGCAGGCATCACACCTTCTCATCCAGTGTCATTGTTGCTAAGGTGCCTCTCATGTGTCCAATTTCGTGAAACCTACACTTGCATTAGGTGTTGAAGGGAGCTGCTATGAAGCGCCTTCCTCTGTCCCCATGGGTGCATACGCTCCCACTAAAAAATTGGGCAGAAGCAGCAGGCAGGTGTGCCGTCCAGCATGAAGGCCGGGATAGGAGCCTGCCTTGGCCAACCGCCACAGCACCTCCTCCTCAGTGTTCATTTTATCAGCTCACACCAAACACACCCTGACTCGATTGCTAACAGTCTTTGGGTGGGGAGAGAGGTTTTATTTTTGTAATTAAAAGAACAGAAACATTGTAAAGCAGAGCATATCAACTGTACGCATTCAGTGCTCTTTGTACATGGTCCTTGAGTCTCATGTGGTCGTGAAGGAATGCCAGGTGTCTGCTCTCAAACAGTAATCCCCTTTGCATGATAAGACAGCCTAGCATTTAGAAAATTCAATAAAAAAGTCAAGATTTAAATACCTCAAGACAAAAATAGAAAACATGTCACAAGGCAGAATATGACTAATTGCCAACTGAATGGTATATGGAAACTGGTTCAGGGGAGGATAAGATTCCAGCCTCTGAGAAGCCAGGAATTTCTTTCTTTTTTCCTAAAGATTTTATTTATTTATTTTTAGAGAAGGAAGGGAAGGGAGGGAGAAAGAAAGAGAGGGAGAGAAACATCAGTGTGTGGTTGCCTCTCGCACGCCCCCTACTGGGGACCTGGCCCGCAATACAGGCACTTGCTGTGACTGGGAATGGAACCTGCGACTCTTTGGTTTGCAGGACGGTGCTCAATCCACTGAGCCACACTAGCCAGGACAGAAACCAGGAATTCCTCGCGGGGACAACCTGATTAAGTCAAACATTCATATCCCTGCAGGTCACCTGGGATGCTCTAGGCCTGCCCCTTACGTCCCTCCATTTGGCAGGGCTGGGCTGGGGCTTAGAAGTCTGCAACTTAGTGGGTGCCCACGTGACTTACTCTCTTATGTGTGAGTTCCACTGTTATCAGAATCCTCCAGGTAACTCAGCAAATGTGTTCCTCAAAATTACCCAGGATGTATTTTTGTAATAGCATGAATCCCAATAAATTTTTTGGCAAAAACCTACAAATTTTCAAAAGGAATCTTTTGTCAGAGCTTGCTATGGACTGAACTATGTCCCCCTTCCCGCCCCCCAAAATTCACATGTTGAATCCCTAACCCCCAGTGTGACTATATTTGGAGACAAGGCATTTAGCCAGTAATTAAGGTTAAATGAGGCCATAAGGGTAGGGTCCTAATCCAGTAGAATCTGTGGCCTTAAAAGAAAAGGAAGAGCAAACGATCTCTTTCTCTCTCCACGCATACATGCACACAGCAAAGAAAGGCCGTGTGAGCCCAGAGCAGGAAGATGTGTATCTGTGAGCCTGGAACCCAGCCCTGTAGGCACCCTTATCAGCCTGTGTCATCGCAGGAGCCATTTCCACATTCTCTCTCTCGCGCCCTCCCTGTCCGTGTGTATGTGTGTGATGTTTCTCTCCTATTTGTTCTGTTTCTCTGGGGAACCCTGACTAACACAGATTTTCATACTGAGAAGTGGGGTGCTGCTGTAGCAAACACCTAAAAGGGTGGAAAGCAGCTTTGGGACTGGGTCATGGGTAAAGGAAGCTGGAATGAAGAGTTTTCACGTGCATTCTAGAACAATGGTCACTAGGGAAGTTTCTGGTGAAGACTCAGACAGAAAGGAGAACCATGTTATTGGACACTGGAGGAAAGTGATAATCCTTGTTATGAAGTAGCAAAGAACTTGGCTGAACTGTATTCTGGGGTTTTGTGGAAGGTAAAACTTGCAAGCCAATGAAATTGGATTTTGAACTGTAGAGATTTCTCAGTAGTTCTGAAAGAGTTGCTTTGTTCTTCCTGACTGCTTACAGTAAAGTGAGACAGGAAGGAGACAAATTGAAGAAGGAATTGTTAAAAGGAACTAGAACTCGAAGATTTGGAAAATTCTTACCTATCCATATAGGAGGAGATGAAACAAGGCTGTTAGTTGTCCTGGATTTGAGGGAGAAGTAGGGGCAATATGCTCTGGACAGAACTGTGTCCTTTCAACTTCATATGTTGAAGTTCTAACCCCCAATATGACTCTATTTGGAGGTACGGCTTTTATGGGGTAATTCAGGTTAAATGAAACTGTAAGCATGGGGTCCCCGTCCAGTATGATTGGTGGCCTTGTAAGAAAAGGAGAGATCTCTCTTTGCCCACGTGCTCTAAGGAAGACCATGCAAGAACAGTGTGAAGGCCGCCACCTGCAGCCAGGAAGAGGGCCCTCAGCAGGGCCTGCGGTGCCAGCACCGGCTCTCAGGCCCCCAGCCTCCCACGCTGCGGTTTAAGCCGCAGATATGCAGTGTTTTGTTATGGTGGCCTGAGGAGACTAGGAAAGAACTTTAAATATTTTTAAGCAGTTAAAACTGCATTTAAAGACTTTTTAAAATTCTAATAATATATCTGATTCAGGTCACCTATTTTGAAAAGCCTTCAGTTCAACCAGATGAAATAAGCATATTCTTGAAAACTGACAAAATTGGGACGTGAGACCCCACATAGTTTAGTGCAAACTTGGGTTCTTCGACAGCCATCCCAATTTATATTTTTGTACAATTTGGACATTTGTTCCAGAATTTCCATAATAAATTGATGACATTGCCACTGTAGAACAAAGAGGCACATCGGGCACCAGCCCTGGCCTCCCCGCCTGTGGGTCTGACATGGTGCGTTGTGCTGATGACAGGTGACAGACAAGCAGGGCTCAGGGCGTGCGCTCAGAGAGCAGTTGCCTTGTCTCACCTGTCACCCTTTGCCCCCTTTACGTCGGTTCTGTGGAGAGGTCCTCACTGTGCTCTTAGATAAGTGGTTCTCAGCCCTGCCTGCTCATGGGGATCCCCTGGGAGCCTTAGCTCACCAGTGCCCACCCCCACTCCCCAGGATTCTGCAGCAGGCGGCATGGGATGGAGCCAGGCAGCAGAGCAAAGGCCTTGTTTTCCTCAGGAAGTATTTATTGAGTCTCTGGAGTTGTTTTCATCCCTGCAGTTACAACAGAAGGCAAGACAGGCCACTCCTTCCCTCATGGAGTTCACATGCTAATTGGGGAGACAAACTAGAAATTAGCGGCACGTGCTTCTGTCTTCTCCCCACTCACATTCATATGTTGAAATCTTAATGCCCAGTTTGACTGTAGTCAGAGGTGGGGCCTTCGGGAAGTTACTAGATCATGCGGGTAGATGGACCCTTTATAATAAAGAGGTTAGTACCCTATTAAAAGAAGCTCCAGAACGATCCCCAGCCCCTTCTGCCATGTGAGGACACAGCAAGACGTCCGCAGTCTGCAACCCGAAGAGGGCCGTGACTCGAATCCAGCCACGCCAGCACCCTGACCTCAGAATGCCAGCCTCCAGAGCTGTGTGAGATCAGCTCTGTTGTTTATAAGCTACCCAATATGTTATAGCAGCCCAAAGGGGCTACAGCGTGAGTAATGGCAAAAAGCAGTGGTATGGCAGATAGCACGTGCGGCATTAGCAAGAAGGTCGGGGGTAAGTGGATGGTGCCTTACTGAATTTCCTCAGGTTAGCGAACTGGCTCTGTGTTTATGGACGTGTGGAAGCATTGTGTGGCCTTGCGTGCATGGCTGAATTGTAGCCAAGCTTCCTCTGATCCAGCAACTCCTAAATTAACTAATATGAAGCGCTGCTTAGGGCATGTGAATTAAGCCTTTTTATTTGATTAAACTCTAAGACACACCACTGTCGCTTGCTGGAGCCATGACTCGTGCCTTCAGACTCGGTGGGTGGTTTATGAAGGGCCGATGTAGTAACACAGACTGGGTGTCAGCCAACCTCCTTCCACGCTGCGTGGCAAGCTGTTCTGCTCTGCCTCCAGTGGCCTCAGAGAGGCCCCTGTTCACAGATGTCACCTCCGTATGCTCAGACATTTAGAGATCAAGTTGGATTAACAAACTCATCCTTTCAAATGTAAACAGACCTTTTGACCGGTAAATTCATTCTCCTATAAATTATTTTATTGAGATTGAATGAGTCATCTTTTTTATTACCTGGGGAGGTTCTTGGAGCCGTGAGGGAATGAGGCTTTAGTCAGCAAAAACAGAGTGATTTTTGAAGAATGAGGTGCTTTCAGTGAGGACAGACCTGGGGGCAGGGCCAAGCAGGGATCTGGGTGGTGAAGCGGTGTGAGGGTGTGTGAGGAAGGGAGGCGGCAAAGGAGAAGCGATTTCACGGAGGATGTCAGGCATGAACTTCACCTGCGTAGCAGTTTTGTGATGGCCCCACCTCGGTGCACATTGCCTTCTGCGTGGACACTCTCAGCAGAATCCAAGCTGCCCTCAAAGTCCCGCCACACAGATCTTCCCTTCAGCCGTCGCCAGCAGCCCCGTCGTGGGTTAGCTGAGCCCCCACTGGCAACCTTGGGGCAGTGCAGCAGCTGTTCTGCAAGGCAGACATAAGCAGCTCCATCAGGTGCCCAGTCTAGAGCATGCCCAGAACCAGCAAGGGCCTGCCCAGGTCCTGGGGCAGAAGCAGGTTCTTCGGGGAGTCAGAGTCAGTAAGTCCCTCACTCGGGTTCCAGGCGGCCAGCAAGCCTGTGACACCTGCTATGTCATGAAGATGACCATGAAGCCATTTTGGTTTCAGCTGTTGGAATAGTGAAGTGCCAGACTATTTTGTACATTCCAGGGCATTAAAATACCATGCCCATTTTGATCAATGTAGAAATAATTGCTTGCTTTTGCTTAGAAAATGTAATAGCATAAAAATGTCAAAGGAAAACAATGCTTTACTCCTTTCTGTTTCACCTTCTAGACTTAAAATGATGGCCTGTAGAGTCAGTCTGTCTTTAGTTTCTAGTAATGATCATTGTTAGGGTCTGATGTCACTTCCCTTAAACTTGCTGGTTGGTGTCTTACCAGATGAAATCTATGGGAACAGCTTGATTTCTACTGTGGTCGACAGCTGCAACTGCTCGGACTCCAGTGACATCGAACTGAGTGATGATTGGGCTGCCAAGAAATCTCCCAAAGTCTCCCAGGCGAGCAAATCACCCAAACTCCCACGGTAATCTTTCTCCTCAGGGCAGTCGCCCCTCTTTTGTGTCCCTGGACGTGTGCTTGTGTTGTGCCTGCAGCAGAGTCCCACCGAAACCGACACCAGGAGAGCACAGGACCACGTCCTCGCCTCTCATCTGGAAAGCCAGCCTGCAGGGGTCACAGCTCTCCTTCCTCCTTTCTTTGGGACAGAAAAAGATACCCAGTAGGAAGTTTGCTAACCTCCAGGACTTTAGGGGTCAGCGCTGGCGGTGGGTGGCATGGAGTGGCCCGAGCTTCCTGGCTTCCTTGTTTTTCTTCCAGTTTGAGAAAAATTAGAAAAAGGTTTTATAGTATAGGTAATGTGTTGAAGAGAATGCCAAATTCAGTGCCTCTAGTGCTGTAATTGGGGAAGAAACAGTAAACCAAAGAAAACTTTAGGCCCTAAAGGTTTGTTTTAGAGAATGGCGAAGGGCTCAGGGTAGGTGGAAGGGGGGGGGGTGGCGCCGATGAGAAGCATAGCCTTTCTCATCCTGGCTCCGCTCCCCGCAGGCTGTGTGAACAGACAAAGCCTGAACTAGACCAGGGTCCTTGTCTGTTAGAAGTTCATGGTGGACCAGATCTTTGCTAAGACCCCTTCCAGCTCTAAATTCTGTGGTGCTGTGCAGGATGAAAGTACAATTGGCATGCAGATATGTACCTGCCCAGCTCATAAACACGCAGTTCATTCAGTACAGCAGTGCATTCACCACGCAGCGGAAGCTAACAGGCCCTCACCTCAGACAGCTCCTGTGCCCTCCCGCCTGGTCACCTGTGCTCTAGGGTAATCGCTATTCTAACTCCTGTCACCATAGATTGGTTTTGCTTCCTCTTGACCTTTACGTAAATGGAGCCAAACAATATATACTCTTCTTTTGGTTGGTTGGTTGGGGTTTTTTTTGCACAATATCATGATTCTGAGATTCACTCATGCTGTTGTGTCTATCAATAGTTCTTCCTTTTTTGTGCTACAGAATTCCGCTGTAGTGAATATACTACAATTTGTTTATGTCATTTACCAATCCACGGGTATTCAGTGGTTTGCAATTTGGGGCTATGATGAATGAAGCTGTTGTAGACGTCCCTAGACACGTCTTTTTGTGGACACATGCATGTGTTCATCTTGGGCATGTACTCAGAAGGGGAGCTGCAGGGCAGGGGGTAGACACGCGTTTGGCTTTAGTGGAAACTGCCAAGCAGTGTCCCTGGGTGCCTGAGCCATGGCGAGTCCCCAGCAGCGGGGCCTGAGAGGGCTGGCTGCGTGCGTGCTCACCTGCAGTTGTGTGGCCCTTTCTAAAAAGGGAGTTCACCCATTCCAGTGAGTGTGCAGTGGTGTCCCATTGTAGTTTAATCCTAGTATCTCCAGTGATTGATGATGCTAAGAAGCTTTTTATATCTTTATTGGCCATTTGGGCATTTTCATTTGTAAAGTGTCTGTTCAAGTCTTTGGCCCATTCTTTATGGAGCAGTTTTGCTTATATTGAGTCGTAAGATTCTCTATTCTAGCTGTGACTCACTTGTCAGACATACCCTGCCATATAGCCTAACGCATACATGAATTTCTGTTATGGTTAGTGTTTTTGTGCCCTATTTAGGAAATCTGTGTCTACTGTGAGATCATGGGACATTCTAGAAGCTTTATAGTTTTAGGGTTCACACTTAGATCTCAGGTTAATTTTTGTGTATAGTGTGACTTAGAGGTAAATGTTAATTTTTTTCTCATGTAACTATCCAGTTGCTACAGAGATCTGATTGATTTACTTTTTCATCATTGTTCTAAGCCTGTTAAAATTACAAATAAAATTATGAACTTTCCTACACTTCTGTAGTGTTTCAGCTTTTCCTATTAATACTTAAGCAGAGAGGACATTTAGCACATTAAATAACTAAATCCTTCACCATCTAAGGTTTCTAGATGTTGCTCTCCCCATAGTGAGGCCTCCTTCCTTCCGTCCTTCCCTGCATTGATCCCCTGCACATAGCAGGCAGGTTAATCTCTGCACACAGAGCTTTGACCACCCCAGTCCCGCTGGCCTCCTTCCCCATGGGCATGCAAGGTGTCTTATCAGGCCCAACAGTATATGTGAGGCTTAATGTTTTTCTTTCCTAGAATGTCATCAGCCTCACCGTATTCATTTTTATAACACTCTTTGGGTTAGACTGGCATTAAGCACATATGTCCCCATGTTACAAAGGAACTGAGGACCGCAGATAGAACAAAGGATCAAAAAGCAGCAGCAGAACTTTTGTTCCACTGATTTCTATTTAAAAATCACAGGCATGAAATTCTAGGTAAGTCTCTTGAAATCCAGATGTACTAGGAATTGTAAAATCATTGTGGCTATAAGGTGAGAAATGACTTCCCAACTGCCATTTCCCCAGGACTGATTCTGCAAACCCCTGGCTGACAGCATGTGGACATCTCTAAATTTATCTTGTTAGGAGAAAGTGAAAGATAGTTAATTCTCTGAGGTTCCTTACAGATGACTCACTTGATCTGATCTCACTTGATGTATTTTAAAATGTTACTCAGTATAGAATTCTGTCCTTCCATTCTCTTGTTCATATAGCAAAAGCAAGCGGGAAGGACTTGGTTCAATTAAGGGGCCTGGCTCCTAAGAATGTGACACCCACGGGTGACTGCTGGGAGGTGAAGGGGAGTGCCAGGAGTGCCTGCCTTGCTCTGGGTGCCCAGCCCTCCTGTGGGTGCTCGACCCTCCTGCCTCGTCTCCACAGGATCAACCTTGAGGCTCGGAAGTCTCCCAAGCTGTCCCGGGCTGCTCAGGAGATGTCCAGGTCCCCGCGGTTGCCCATGCGCAAGCCCTCCATCGGCTCGCCCAGCCTGACCCGAAGAGAGTGTCCCTTTGAAGACATCACTCAGGTAATGTCTGGGTTCCAGGTTGGTCCCATGCACTGATGCACCGCGGTGCTGCTTCCCCTCCCCAGTTCATGCATGGTGGTGGCCGGGCCCTTGCTACCCACCCTCCATGCCTGTCTCTGCAGCTCCAGACACTGGTCTAAGTAACTAGAGCCCTGTTTGTCCTCCTTATCACCCCTGCCGCCAGGCAGGCCAGTCACCTCTGCTCCACGTCCCACGTGACACCCTTGCAGCCTCAGATGCCGCACCCCTCATGCCCAGGCGGCAGAGCCACCCCTGCCTCTGCCCGCCTTTGTGCCTTTGCTCTGCCTGGGTCACTGGAAGCCTCCACGCTTCCAGACCTAATTTCACCTCCTCCAGGAAGGCTTCCTTCCCAGATTCGGCCACAGAACCTCCAGAGCCTCTCGTGACTTCTTGTACGCAAGCAATTACCTGCCTTACCTTCTCCGTTAGGGCTCAGGGTCTTTGGGGAGCTGTGCTCCACTCCACTTCATGATTGCCCTTGCATACACACATGCAGGCACGGGCACAGGGATAGCTTTCTAAATTCTTTTGCCCTCCTTGACCACGAACACAGATGATTGGGTAGTTTCATGATGGTGTCAGTGCAGCCGACATTTCCAGGAGAAACATCAAGGATGAAAATGGATCCAGAGCCAGATACCCTCTCCAGTCTGGTGATTATGGGGATGGAGAGGTGAAGGTAAATGAGCCCAAAACCCGTTGTGGCCTTTTGAGCCAACACACCGGGATGCATCTGCTTTTCACTCCCAGCCTGAGGAGCACAGCTTGGTGAGACCCCAGTTACAAGCAAGTGCCTGCCATGCTGCAGTTAGCCTCTAGTCTTCAGAGTGGTGGACTGATGTGGGGAATGTGCATTTCCAGTTAAGAACACTTGTGGCTTTTCAAACAGTAAGTGTTTATTTAATAGGAAATATGGAAATAGTGATGTTTATTTCCTTTTTTTCCTCCCACAGCACAACTATCTTGCTCAGGTTACGTCTAATATCTGGGGAACCAAATTTAAGATCGTGGGCTTGGCGCCTTTCCTGCCAACCAACCTCGGTGCAGGTAAAACCACATCCTGTTCTTTGCCTGCTGTCCCAGTTGGAACTCAGACTGGAAAAAAAAAAAATTTCAACCTTCAGTGGCCTAAAACAGAAAATGAATCGTAGACATTGAAGATTAGCATGCATCTTACCTCCAAACTTTGACTCCAGCCACTGTGACGTCACAAAAAGTAGAATAATCACTCAAATTGTTTTGTTTTGTTTTGGCAGTGGTGCTTTAATTTTTTTGAAGTATCATCCCCAACTTATAAAAATGATAGAAATAGTCAAAATCTCTATCAAAGCTATTAGAGGCTACTGGTTATTTTAATTTCTGGCCTTCCACTGTTGGCAGGTTTTGGTACCAGTGTCTTTAGTTTCTTGAGTTAAAAGAAATTCCTGAAGAAAGCATTAGACTATAAAATGTTGGCTGACTGTGAGCACAGCTTAGTGGCGAATCTTTATAGATGTCATTTCTAAATATCAAATAAATGTCATGTCCATGAAAGTTTGGGCCAGTGAGGAAAATGTGGAAGCAAGGGAGTGCAAAACTGGGCTAGAACCCAGGACTTGCACTTCTGTCTCTGCTCCGGATGGATGGAGCGAGAAGGACTGGCTCACCCTGGTTGCTCAGAGACAGGGCAGTGTGAAATAGCAGGAGGCCCTTTTCAATGCACCTTCACCCTGATGCGCACATCCTGTGTGGACCCAGGAGTTGTATTGTCCAGTCCCCCCACCCCTGACCTTGCTAGGCCACCTCATCATTTAATATGCACACGTGTCTCTGGAAAGCCAGCTTAGCCAGGCAAGGTTCACCTGTGGCTGGTGGCCCCATCTTGAATGTGCTCTGTGTAAGCTACTAGAAATGAATTTTGAAAAATTCTGAATCTGGCTCTAAGTTGTTTCAAACATTCTTAGATCCTTCAACATAAATGATTCTTGCAAATCATGTTATGAAGACCCATTGCTATATCTGCCTCTTCAGAGACTTACTAGTGCTGCATTGGATTCTCCATTTGAGGTTTACTAGCTAGTAGAAAAAGAGAATAAAAATAAAACATAAAACTGAGCTAGGAAATAACAGTAAACTATCCCTGTACATAATGCAGACAAACCTTAGAATATTTTCAACCACCTGCAAACTCTGATGACCACAAAACCTGCTTCTCAGCTATTCAGCAGTGCCCTACTGATGTATATAGTTGATTCTAATCCTCACTGTGCGTGCAGCATGGTTGCCCCCCATCAGTAAGCTCAGCACTTCACCATCTGCCTCCGGTAAACACTGAAGGAAGGAGGGGAGATGAGAATTGACTTAATGGGTCTCTTCATTCTGCCCTGTTCCTTGGCTGCTGGGTAGATCCTCAAGTAGGTCAGCAAGGGCCTTCAGATGAGAGGGACTGTAGGTGCCTCTGAGCAACGTGTTGCTCCCGTGTGAGGAATCTTGACTGCTTGAGACACAAGCTGTCCATGGGACTGCAGGGAACTGCTGTCCTGATCACTGATCTTCCTAAAAAGAGTGTTTTGGCTGTAACTATTCGCTTGTCAAGGTAAAAGAGTTTTCCACTTGATTCTCCTGAAGAAATGAAATTAAGTCTTGGATTCTGGAAGGTATATTACATACGGCACCCTATTAAATACTCTTTGACGCTCCTAGTGGGTTTAAAAAGTAAGTGCTATTCACATACTGGATAATTTGTTTCCTGCAATTAAAATAATTGGACCATATAATTTTTTTCATTTTTAATTCATTGTATTTCTTAATTTTTTAAATATGGAATAAATTCAAAAGATTTAAAAGAGTATAGTACAGTAAAATCTCTCTCATTCTCACCCCCAGCCACCTACTTTTTCCCCCTGGAGACAACTGATAACTACTTTTTTAATTCTTCCCGAGTTGTTGTTATTATTATTTTAATCCTTACCCAAGGACATTTTTTCATTGCTTTTTAGAGAGAGGAGGAAGGAAGAGAAACATCGACGTGAGAGAGAAACACCAATTACTTGTAGCCACCTCCAAACCCCCCCTCCCCGCCCCCGCCATATGCACCCTGACTGGGAACCAAACCTACAACCCAGACATGTGCTGTGACTGGGAATTGAACCCACAGCCTTTCAGTTTAAGGGATGATGCATCAACCAACTGTGCCACACTGGGCAGCGGCCGCCTGAGATTTTTTATTTCACTCCTCTTTGTTAATCTGAATGATGAAGAATAGTACTTTAACACATTAGCTCTTAGGCTATATTAATACTCTCTTCTGTGGGCAAGAGAAGAGGGCACATGAATAAGACCTCTAACAACCACTGGGCTGGAACACCATCTACCTCAGTGCATACCAGTCCTTACAAAGGACTTCAAAAAAGAAGGACTGCTGGGCCACTGGCACGCTGGCAGGGAGCCGCCAGGCCTCGGGGTTGGGGCCCTGGAGACAGAATTTGGCTTTATCCTAACAAAACAAAAAACACAGTAGTAATAAAATAACTTCTGCATAGTTCACAGGAAAGAGCATTGAACATAAAAGTTGACAGGCAGTTTCATCCTGATTTTAATCTGCTGTGAAATCTAAATTCTGATTCATTATTTTTGAACTTACTTTGTCTCCTCTAAGGTATTTTAGTTGAAACCTGGGTTTTCTCTTAAATATCCCTGTTGATCAAATTGAATCATAGTGTTTAAAGAAACCACGTGGAAGTCCCTGATAAGTCTGTATACCGATTATGAAATTGGAGAAGTCATTAAGACAAGAATCCAGCCTTGCAGAGAGGCAGCATTTCACTGCTGCCTGATCCCTCTGACCCTCATCTCATAGCTGCTCTCAAACAGCTCCTCCGTTGCCCCCGGTTGCCCTGAGCTTGGCAGTCTGGTTAGCTCCACTATTTTCACTCAATTATCCTTCTGATTTACATATAAGGTTCTTTTTTTAAAAAAATATATCTATCATGCCCCAGCTCATTACAAAAAAGAATTTACAGGGTTGTTTTTTTTTTGACATTTTGAGTGTGTGGTTCAACAGACAAACCATTGGCAAAGTGGCTGGGCTAGACTGACAGTTTGGTGTCCCTGAACCCAGACTGTGGCTGGGGTGGCCAGGCGCACCTGGGGATCGATGGAGAGCTGTGCGGGCCTGTCTTCTCACGGCAGGACAACCGCTGCCCCTTTCTCTTGCTGTGACCTTGTTGACTCCTAGGCTATCATCCCCCTGTCTCTACTGACTGTTCTTCCTCCTCCCACCAGTAATCTATAAAACCAGCCTCCTGCATCTCCAGCCGCGGCAGATGACCATCTATCTCCCAGAGGTTCGGAAGGTTTCCATGGACTACGTGAGCTTACCTGTCTTCAACCCGAATGTGTTCAGTGAGGATGAAGATGATTTACCAGGTGTGTTCACATGCATTACCTAGTTGGTCAGGAGCCCTTAGTGGGTTGTGACAGAGGACAGAGTGATTGTTGCTTCACAACCTCTTTGGGAGCTTCCCAGGAGACATCTGAAATTGGCAGGAAGAGACCAAAAAAAGAGGCAGGCCACTCCAGATGGGCAGGTGGTGGTTTCAGTGAGCAAAGGAACGTACGAGGCTTGTTTGGGCAGCTATAAGACTGGCAGATTTCCACATCCACTGCCAGAATCTCGTAAGTTTATGTGGAGGCCCTAACTGGAAGCAGTCCCATACACCATCCAGATAGTCAAAGCCATATTGTTTCAAGGCTATATCCTTACAGTAGCTTCTGGAGTGGAAAGGGCGAAGAGAAAGCCCATTCCAGGGACAAGGATGAGGGTGGGGAGCGGCCAGTTGCCCAGGTCCAGCTCTCAGGTCAGTTGGAGGTGGCCCCATCTCCTTGGTGATCTCCAGCAGGGTTACAGCATGCCAGTCTGTGCCTGCTGCCTCTGTTTGGGGAAGGTGTAACTTCCCAGTGAGGTTGGTCGGTGTGGTGGCATGACACAGGAGAAGGGTCACATGCTCTCAGTCATTTGGAGAAGAGGGAAGCTACCACAGCAAAGACGACTAAGGTGGCCATGCGCTCGTGTTCACAGAACACTTGTACCACTTCGTTTTATCCTCACAGTAATCCTCTTAGTCGTGCGCAGATACAGAGGTTCAAGAACTAATCGGGACCAATCAGAGGACTGCACCCCAGTCTTGCTGACCCTGGGCTAGCCCTCATCCTTTTACTCCCTGCTCAGACCAGGGCATCAATTGAGTGATCCCGTGGTGCCCACAGAGCCTGGTGTAGAGGCAGGAAACCTCTACATTTAAACACCTCCCAATGTGGAGCAAATATCTTCGTGTATAGAAGCCTAGTCTGAGTTAAAGGTAAAATCTGGTACAAATTTTTAAAATCCCAGCTTACAAATTTTCAAGTATCTATAATGATTTCTAGTGGGGGATCCTATTTTGATTAATAGATTAGAATGATTTCTAATTAGTCTGCCAATTACTTGTATGTAACTATCCTCGAAAAAGTCCACCTTCAATTTTATAAATACTAGAGAGACTCCTCTACTTACATCTGAGGCAGGTCCTGAAAGTCTCTAGTTTCTGAGCCAGAGGAACCCCACATCGTCCTCTATCCAGTTGTTCTTGAACAGAGAGCCTGTGGTCCTCGCCATGGGACAGGGAGGGACGTGCACCCCTATTTAGGCTCTGAGCTTGAGGGAGTAGCTTCCCTTCTCTGAGCCCAGGTTTTTACCTGTCACATGACAGGTTTTTACCTGTCACATGAGCCATCACAGGGGGAACCCATGTGCCAGAGGGCCACAGTCCTAAAGAGAGAGGTTTGCAACCACATAGACCTGCAGCGGGACAGAGCCCCACCCACCTGAGCTTTATAGCAGGTCCCCTGCTGTTTCGGAATCTCGAAAGTGGAAGCCTCTCTTACATGGTCCCCTTAACGCCCTCCCTGCTCTCTAAAGCTCAGCTGTTGCTGCTGCTGCCACTGCCGTTCCTGTCTATGGTCACAGGGAGAGGAGGGAGCGTTTTGTCTCAGGACTGAACCTAATGCTGGTGACACACACAGAGACTCTCCCTCCGCAGGGAGGAGGCCTGCCGCAGCGTCCCACACAGAGGAGAGGCCACGGGGAAGGGGGTCTGAACAGGGACAGTAGAAAACCTGAGACAGGGCCCAGGTCCATGCAGCCCAGCAGGAGTCCCCCTCACTAATGGACCCCAGGGAGGGTGGCGTCTCTTCCAGGCACCAAGGAGGGCATAGCCTCTGAGGAACCAGCTGGCTTCATTCTGTAGTTCTGGTGAAAGGCCAACCAGCCTTTATAATTACTCTGTCCGGTCCTATTTCCTGCTGAGTGCTGGGTGCCACCCAGCACTCAGAGGCCCAGGTGAGCAAGTTGCTGGGTGGGCCCTTCAGACAGGGCAGTGCAGCGTAGGGGCTCCAAGCACTCGCCGGTGTCAGCAGGTCATTGCCCAGGTGCGCGCCGCTAAGTTCCCACCACACACAGGGTGTGTTTACAGAGTTTTAGTCAGTGTGGCTCTGCCTTACGTACTGTTTAAAATGCTAAAAAGCAGATAAATTAGGTACTGAGCTTTCTCCTAATATGCAGATTTGCTGAGGGTTCTTTTCATTGGTTTCTCTACTCCATTTTACATGGTTCTATTTATAGGAACCTAGTTTACATAGGACTAGCAAGTGTGTGATCTGCTGCAGGCACATCCCACGTTGACCCATCCCTTACCGAGGATACACCTACTCGGAATGTCATGAGTGAAAACCGTCTTTGAACAATTAAGTATCCGCCATGGTGCCCTTTGAGCACATGGTGCCCTTTGAGCACATGGTGCCAAACTGAGAAGGCTCAAGTGTAGCCACTGAAAAGCCCTGACAGTGCCTTTAGCTAACGGTCAACAGCAGGTTGCCCTGCAGGACCCACCGGTTGCCAGGGTGCCCTTCCAGAAACACCAGAGGAACATGATGTAGCTTGTGTGAGCTGTTGAGCTCTCCCCAAGCAAAGACAGCTCCGTCTATAGCAATTGCATTTTGCATGCAAAAGACTGGATGAGTTGAGAGAGATTGCTTATTGAGACCCTTTTGGGGCACCCTTTTGTAAGCGGCATGTTTTCCTCCCTTCCTTCCAGGGACGGGAGCCTCTGGCGTGCCTGAGAACAACCCGCCTTGTACCGTGAACATCCCCATTGCGCCCATCCACAGCTCGGCGCAAGCCATGTCGCCCACACAGAGCATCGGGCTGGTGCAGTCCCTGCTGGCCAATCAGAACGTGCAGCTGGACGTCCTGACCAATCAGACCACAGCCGTGGGGGCAGCTGAGCATGCAAGTGAGAGTGCCAGCCAGTACCCGGTCTCTAGTCGCTACTCCAGCCCTGGACAGGTGATCTTCGGTGGCGTGGAGATGGGCCGTCTGGTCCCGAACCCCCCGCAGCTGCCGCTGCCACCGCCGCCCCCCACACAGGGGGCGGTCCAGCTGTCGGTGGTGGAGCTCGGAGACCGCGAACATGAGCACCTGCCCAAGCCCACCAAGGCTCTGCGGCCGGCACAGCTGACTGCCGAGGGGGACGCTGTGGTATTCGGCGCCCCCCAGGAGGTCCAGGTGGCCAAGTTGAACCCCCCACCTCCTTACCCAGGAACCATTCCCGCCGCGCCCACCACCGCAGCGCCGCCACCCCCGCAGCCCCCCGTGGATGTGTGCTTGAAGAAGGGCGACTTCTCACTGCACCCTACCGCGGTGCATTACCAGCCACCCCTGGGCTACGAGAGGATCACCACCTTCGACAGCAGCGGCAACGTGGAGGAGGTGTGCCGGCCCCGGACACGGATGCTGTGCTCCCAGAACACCTACACGCTCCCTGGCCCGGGCAGCTCGGCCACCTTGAGGCTCACTGCCACCGAGAAGAAGGTGCCCCAGCCGTGCACCAGCGCAACCCTGAACCGCCTGACGGTCCCCCGTTACTCCATCCCCGCTGGAGACCCGCCCCCCTATCCTGACCTGTCCGGCCCACTTGCCCCAGGCCGGATGGCGGCACAGCGGCTGGACAGCGGGCTCATTCACGCCACGCTGCGGAGGAATAACCGCGAGGCGGTGCTCAGAGCTGCAGTACCAGCTGAGCCCCTGCGGGCCCCGCCGCAGCACCCGGCCTTGCAGCACCCGGCCAAGCCCAAGGGCGCAGCGCAGTTCCCTGCGCGGCCGCAGGCTGCCCTCTACACCTGCAGCCAGTGTAGTGGTGGAGGCGCAGCCGGCAGGCCGGAGCCAGGCCCGGGGGGAGCACATGCAGTAGGCGCCTCCCCGCTGGCCTCGCAGTCGTCCTACAGCCTCCTGAGTCCACCCGACGGAGCCCGCGAGCGCACCGACTACGTCAACTCGGCCTTCACTGAGGACGAAGCGCTGGCCCAGCACTGTCCGGTAGAGAAGCCCTTGAGGCACCCCCTGATGCCAGAAGCTGCTGTGGCTGTGAAAAGGCCACCTCCTTACCAGTGGGACGCTGTGCTGGGGGAAGACATTTGGGTGCCTCAGGAAAGGACAGCGCAGACTGGAGTGCTGAACCCCCTGAAACTGCCCCCTCTGGTGGTAGGTCAGAGCCAGCACCTGGATGTGTCCCGAGTGCCCTTTGTCTCTCCTAAGTCTCCCACCAGCCCTACTGCCACTTTCCAAACAGGCTATGGGATGGGAGTGCCATATCCAGGAAGCTATAACAACCCTCCTTTGCCAGGAGTGCAGGCTCCGTGCTCCCCAAAAGGCACCCTGTCACCAACACAGTTTGCACAACAGGAGTCTGCTATGGTCCTGCAGCCGGCCTACCCGCCCAGCCTGTCCTACTGCACCTTGCCCCCCATGTATCCTGGAAGCAGCGCGTGCTCAAGTTTACAGCTGCCACCCATCGCCTTGCACCCCTGGAATTCCTACAGCGCGTGCCCACCCATGCCAAACCCCCAGGGCCCTCTCCCGCCCAAGGCACACTTGGTTGTGGAGAAGCCCCTCGTGTCCCCACCACCCTCTGACCTCCAAAGCCACCTGGGTACAGAGGTGATGGTAGAGACCGCAGACAACTTCCAGGAGGTTCTGTCTCTGACGGAAAGCCCAGTTCCCCAGCGGACAGAGAAGTTCGGAAAGAAGAACCGGAAGCGCCTGGACAGCCGGGCAGAGGAAGGAAACGTTCAGGCCATCACTGAGGGCAAGGTAAAGAAGGAGACTCGGACTTTGAGTGACTTTAATTCCCTGATCTCCAGCCCCCGCCTGGGGAGAGAGAAAAAGAAAGTGAAGAGTCAGAAAGACCAGCTGAAGTCGAAGAAGCTGAACAAGACGAATGAGTTCCAGGACAGCTCAGAGAGTGAGCCCGAGCTGTTCATCAGCGGGGATGAGCTGATGAACCAGAGCCAGGGCAGCAAGAAGGGCTGGAAGAGCAAGAGAAGCCTGAGGGCAGCCAGCGAGATGGAGGAGTTCAAGTGCCGGAAAGCCAGCGAGAGGGAGGACGGGCGGCTGGGCAGCCAGGGCTTCGTGTATGTCATGGCCAACAAGCAGCCTCTCTGGAATGAAGCCACCCAGGTATACCAGCTGGACTTCGGGGGACGTGTGACCCAGGAGTCGGCCAAGAACTTCCAGATCGAGCTGGAGGGGCGGCAGGTAAGGGCATCCCAGGGCCGGGCCAGAATCACGACTTCCTGGTCTTGGCAGGTCTCTCAGGGTTTTTCAAACCAGAAGGAGGGTCTCAGTGCTTTGGGCTTTGAGGAGCATTTTTCAAAGGCCACCTGGGAAATGTGGAAAATAACTGATCCTCTTAGATGGGGCCAGGCCAGTTGGGGTTGCCATGGGCGTGGACTCACCCCCCTTTCCGCTGTTCTTCATTAAATCAGTAGTCACCGGTTACCTCTTTATGCCGGTAAATGTTTCACAGCTGAGCCATGTAATAGGGTTTAATTATATTCCTTTTTTTTATTGTATAATTTTCCCCCCTACACATAATGATCACCCAGTTATTTGCTTATTTCTCTGTGTGTGTATTGTTAAGTCATTCCCTGGTTCGGTGGCAGGATGTAAGTCTCCTCTTGGTACAGTTAAACACAGTGGGCAATTTGTCAGCTCTCCCTGCTCCAATCCATCACTTGCTGTAGGCCTGCTGCAGAGCTGTTGTTCTGGACTGCCTGTCTCCACCACCCTGGGAATTCCCTTCACCTCTCATATTTAAATCTCATTTTCATTAACTCACACAGCAAATACTCATCAAGTACCTGCTGTTCGCCTGGCAATCTTCTAAGCAAGGAGTCGGCAAACTGTGGCCCACAGACAACGGCTTCTTCTTTTCATCAAGTTCTGTTGTAACATAGTCATACCCATCCACTTAAGTATTCTCTGTGGCTGCTTTTATCCTATAGCAGCTGAGTTAAACATTTGTGGTAACCCTTGCCCGTAGCTCAGTTGGCTGGAGCATCATCCTATACACCAAAAAGTTGCTGGTTTGATTCCAGGTTGGGTCACATACCTAGGTTGTTGATTTGATCCCTGATTGGGGCATATACGGGAGGCAACCAATTGATGTCTCCCCCCGCCCTTTACCCCTCCCTCTACTCTCCTTCTCTCTGTGTCTAAAAACCAATTTTAAAATTTTTTAAAAATAGAAGAAAGATCACAAATATACGTAATACACAGTTGCAGTTATGAAATAGTCCCTGGAAGTACTGAAATGATAGAGGAAAGCGCTCTGGGGAGGCGAGAACAATAAGGTGTGCGGGGTTTTGTTTCTCTCAGCAGCAACATTGACAATGGCAATTGATATTTCTCTTCAGCCTCTTTCATCTGTAGATTTTATTTCTCCTGTCTTTTCCTTGGTGAGGAAACCACTTCATTTGACCTGTGGAGTTTCCCTCACCTTGAATTTTGCTCATCTTTCCCACTGTGTTGTTTAACATGTTCCTCTGTTCCTTTGCTTCTGACAAACTCACAATCAGGTGTAGCAGCCTGCCACAGTCGCGGTTGTTGGCAAACGCACCTCACAGACTGTGCTTCTGCCTCTGTCAGGAGCTGCACGGGCCTGGGTGCGCAGTCCCGCCTCGTTTTCCTCTAACGTCTGTGCTTCAATCCCCGCCTCCTCCACAGGTGATGCAGTTTGGAAGGATCGACGGTAACGCGTACATCCTGGACTTCCAGTACCCCTTCTCCGCCGTGCAGGCCTTTGCGGTTGCCCTGGCCAACGTCACCCAGCGCCTCAAATGAAGAGACTGGCTGGGGGAGCAGGAATTAATAAAGGACCCTTTTCAGAGAGGCCTGATTGCAGGCAGAGGCTAGAGGGGCCTGCCTGGGGCCTGGGTGTCTGGGGGACCAGAAGACAAAGCAAACTGGAAAATGTCAGGCCCGAGAGAGGGCCCTGATCTTTAGCATTGTCATTCGTTTGGGCTTTTATTATTCTTTATTGTCTGTCTTCTTTCTTTTTAATCAAACAAAATAAAATAGAGGAGAGTGGTATGTGGGAGCCAAGGTGCCAGGCACCTGGTGTTTTTTTAGAAGCCTAGTTGCTTGTGGTAACTTCCACTGGGTTTGCTTCTGTCAGCTGGGGACAAGGGGCCCTTCAGCAAGAAGACAGGCTGCCTTACTCATAGCCTGCTATTCCTTTAGACATAGGATGTGCATTCTTTTTGTTCTCCACAACATCACTAGTGTAGAAACAAAAAACTTTTTTAAAAAACAACCAAAAATTCTGAAGGTACAGGTTCTTTTGGGGGGCAACGTGATTCACACATATTATGTCACTCTCCCACAGGTGACGTGGTTAATGAAGGTATTTTGGCAAACGCACTGTTTGACTAATAAAAAATAGGCTTTTTATGGGGGTGCTCTTACCAGGTATGAACACGATGTGCTCCTGATGATGAGGGGGAAGGGATGGCAGGTGAGGAGGAAACTCCTGCGCGTGCACACATGGGCGATTTACGTAGGGTGGCTTGAAATCGTTCAAGGGCTATGCTCCTCTCTGGAGGATGTTTACATTGAAGACTCCACTAGTTTTATAACATGTCAAAATTCCATAGGTTTAGTGCGTCTGACTGGAGATGGTAGGAGACAGACGTGGACCGGTCCCAGCATGTGGCGGAGGCAGCGGTTTTCTCAATGAGAGCCATGGCGAGTCACTGGGTGCCCGCTTGCTGACAAGTAATGTTTATTCCCTCTTCCCCTTTATCATTGAATCTGGAAATGCGACTATAAACATTATCCTTCCCATCGGACAGCACTGTACTACACTTCTTCTGAAAACTCTGACGATACTGATGTGAAGCACTCTTTCTTCTCAGCTACATTAAAATTCAATTGACCAGAAATGTTTTTCAACAGATTAGAAATGTAAGCAAAAAAATCTTAAGCATTTGCCAGGGTATGAAGAGAGAGAGCTACATTCAACCCTTCCACAGAAGTCCCATAATCTTCCCTAGGAAAAAAGTTGCTTATTAACTGTGTAGACTGTTTACCAAGGAGATGAACCACTGGGACAGCAAGGTTAAAATTAGAGTATATAAAGCAGTTGGCTGACAACTGTTAATTGCAAAAAATCCGCTGAGATTATCTTCTCCCACCTCACTCCGTCCTCAGGGGACACCTTGGGTGGCGTTCAGCCCTGGTGGCAAGACTAGCTTATTGTTTTTGGTCATCGGTGTCTGTGATGTTGTTTAGGGCAGGAGCACAAGAACTATCCTAAATTTGGGTTTTGTTTGAAAACAAGTGGACAATACTACAGAAAATCATTTTTTAAAAAATTTTCTAATTCCCTGCTTTGACTTTAAAATACTTTTTAAATTTCCTGTTTTGGTTGAAAAATTAGAGAAGAAATTATCTCATCTCTTTCCCAGAGCAGGATGCTATCCGTCACCCTCCACTCTCTCCAGCCTCCAAAGAAACACAGATGAGGTTTTTAAATAGGGTGAGGACATCGCCCAGCTGGTGCCAGAGCTTCCCATCTTACATTTCAAAGTAGTGAACCTGATTCTTTGGTGGGTAAATTCTTCCAAAAAGAATGTAGCAGTGTATTCAGATTTAAGTAATTCTTTTATGTGAGTTTTTATAGTTTGAAATGATGTTTCAGTGGTTACTATTAGTTGTGCAATATGGTTATAGCCTAATTCTAAAATAATTTAAATGCAATTCTCTGTTTTATTGTCCAAGAGAAAATTATTTATCTTGCTTTAATAGTGTTCTTAGGAATTCCTCTGTTACTGTGTACTGGTGAGTTATGCCCATATTATTATTTATTTAGAAAAATAGTTTCCTTGTAACAACTTATTTGGTAGTAGTATATTTTGCTGTAAGAAATAAAGAGGCTATGATAGGGTTTTTTGTTTTATTTTTTCCTGGATTGATTGTAACCTTTTCTAATTGGGGAAAAAATTTTTTCTGTTAATTCTTTTTTTTGCTTTTTGCTTTTTTGTGGTATTGATTATATATAAAGAAGATTTCTTTGCGATAATGTATCCTAAAATATTTTCCCTAATTTTGAAATTTTTATTTTTAACTAAAAGGTGATATGAAATGAGAAAAGATTTATTAGAATGAGAGTAGCAAAAGAAGGAATTATTAGTAATAGTTTCAGTTTTTAAAATTCTGATTGATTTTTGAGATATAAAGACCATGATACGGGGTACTTTTTAGAACTTCCCTTAATAAGAGCAAATATAGGGGGAAATCCTTGGAATTAGCGCCACCGCAAATACACGTATGAAGAGAACATATTTGTAACAGCCAATTAACTAAAATTACTGAATTCTTAGCCCACTGCCCAACAAGCGTGCACCCCACACGGCCAGCGGCCTCCCTCTCAGACGCCGAGCCCACTGAGTGAGCCCCTGAGGGGTGGCCGCCCTGGCCCAGAGGAGCCCGCGGCCTCAGGCGCCACCTCCTCCAGCAGACGTCTGCGGCAGTGTGTTGTCTTCTGAGATAGTGGTGAGGCCTTCACTTATTTTAAAAATCATTTTCATTCAGTCTCAATTTGGTAAATACTACTAAAGTCAGTACTATCAGCAGCAGAATTCTACATACTTTATTAGTGATAATTTATGAATATTAAGAAACCTCCTTGAATACCTGCATTTAAAAATATTAGCCCAGTAATTAATCAACTATATGAAAAATCCACGCCTCTTTGAGGGAAGCAGTATATTAACCAACATAAAAACCAATTTTAAATTTGTTTTAACTCTACCTTTATCAAACCAAAGGCACAGATTTATATATGGTCCATCCACTGAATGTCTGTTCTGAAAAAAATGGTAAAAAGGAAACAGAAATGTTAAAGCTCTAATGGCAGTACAAGTCAGGATCGTGAAAGTTAGTATTCTTCATCCATGGCCATTGTTCCCTTGTCGAGTGTCCCACGAGGACGTGCAGAACCGTACACGTCCTGTCATCAGAGCATGGAGGCAGGAGGCCCAGGACCGCGCCTGCCCCGCCACAGCAGGACGGGCCTCTGGGCCTTCCTCTGTTGGTCTGTGACACGAAAGGGACGCGGGGCAAGGTCTGAGCTCCCAGTCTGTTCCAACTCCCTGAGGCCTGAAAACGTGGCTGGTTCCTCCCTCCACTTCACAAACTCAGAAGGTATGTTTCCAAACATTGCCTTTTTGTAAAGAAATGTTTCTTTTCCTGTGTTAATGAGCTATCTACTGAATTTAAATCAGGGCATTTAAAACAATATCTTTAGAAGATTCACCTCTAGAAAAATGCATCTGGAATTGTGTGTTTTCATAAAATTATGCAAAAGCACCGATTCCAGGTAAGACAGAGGAGCCTCCCCACAGGTGCACCCTGCCCAGCGGCCGCCCTTGGGACCAGCCCTAAAAAAAGTCACCACCTGCCCCAAAGACCGTAGAATGGACTGAAAAAAGACAAAGGAGTGTGGGCCTAGGCTGTCTCGGACGCTTGAGTGTGCACTGCGGCGCTAGGCTGTCTTCAAGTGCAGGATTCTGGGGCAGGAGCCCATGTGTCTTTGTACGGGCCATCTGTCGCTTGGCCGAGTCAACGGTCGCAAACAAAGTTGAGATAAAATGTGTCAAAAAATGTTGTTTGAGTCCCTGAGATTTTGTACTAGCACACAACTCAAAACTACATCATTTGTGTATTTTCTATCTCCAGCTGATAAAACTCTAAAGGGTTGCGGCTTATTTTGTTTTCATTTCTTTGGCTTTGTGCAATTTTCTTGTAACTTTACTCGTACCTGTATTTTCTGTTTACAAGTTCTTTTAAAGGGGAGGGGTAGGATTCTAAGATCTCATTTATTGTAGATAAAAACATTTTCTTTTGTGTCGTAGTAAAGCATGGGTTATGCGTTTGACTAAAAAAGGCACTGTATTATTTACCAAAGGGGTGTTGTTTTTGCATTTGTGTATAAATACATTATTTTGGTACTGTAAATTTGGACATAATTTCTGAATTTACTACTACTGGCAACTTCTTTCTCCTTGTTTTTTTTTTTTTTTTTCTTTTTAACTGTAAGTGTGCAATGCAGGTGCACAGGTCCCAGACCAAACCAGACCACCAGCACGTTCTCGTCCAGACCTTGGGGATGGCGGCCACCCTGCCCGGTGCACCTCCGTTCGTCTCATGCTGGCTCATTTGTTTTCAGCTCAGCATCCTGCTTTGTTTTCCTTTCCAAGCAAGATCGGTTGAGGTTCCTGGTTGCATTCTAATGAGCTCACCCTGATTTGCCGCTCTTCATAGGTATTTTGTGTATTAGATTGTGAGGGAGGTGTTCTAGAAGGCATTCATGGTTTGCATTTAACATGGTGTGCTTAGTTCAAGTTATTTTCTGTCTTTATAATTGAGATGAATTAATCTTATTTTTTTCTTGATGATTTGAAGTTGTAAGAATTGTCCAGCTATTGCTTAATAAAATTTTGCAGATCAAAAAAAAAAAAGAATCCCAGTTGCTTGTGTGCAGAAACCGCGTCTCAGCTAGCTTGAACCGCCTTCCCGCTGCCTCTTTGATCCCTGAATTACTGCCAGTGGCTGACCCCCTGACCGTCTCATCACTGTCGCTCTTTTTGAGAGGCCAGGGGTTGGCCCTCTTCCCGATGAGTTGGCCTGAGCTCGTGTTTGTTCTTCGTGCTTTTTCAAAAGAGGGCCGTGCGTTCCGGAGGCGGCTGTTCTGCACCTACAGAAGCAGAGTTGCCGAGCGCCCCGGCACTCTCTCTGCTGCTGTGTAGGACACCTACTAAAACCAGGCTATGAGCAGTTCATCTGTCAGTACTAACATCGCTGTTCATTGTTGTTCTCACTAATGAGCCTTAGTGCCCCGTTCACTCTGCCCCAGGGAGGGAGCCGGGCTTGGGGTCACAGGAGGCTCACGGGTAAACACTGGCCCTCGCACACCTTTGCAGAACTACATACACTCTTCTCAGAGAAAGAAAGGACATGCAATCACTCAACTTTAGGAGACAGAACTACAAACCATGTCAACTCTTAAATTCAAAGCACGCATTACATTTTAAAGTAGTCATAAGACTATACATCTGTGCTTTAAATAGTAGCAGTCATATAAGGTTAACTGGCCTGAGTTTTGTATAAGAATCAAAATGCATCTCTTACGGAAGTTTGTGAACTTCAAGTCAATATTCATTGTATCTTTATCACTTAAACCAGGTAGCGAGTAAACCTGGTGGAAAACACAGCCCCATTTTCCCTCTCCCAAAATACAAGAGACCACAACCTTGGCTGGGGCTGGGTCTCTGCTAAGGACCCCTGTCTAGGATCACTGTCCCCACCAGCCCCCTGGTCGGCTTTGGGGCCATTCGTTCAATGCAAGTCGGCATCTCCAGAAGAGATTTGTTTTTAAAGCCCTGGTAGGAAAACAGCAAATCCCTTTCCTTCTTGAAGCTTATTTTGAAAAGGATGCATGCTCTTTTTATTCTGGTGTTCAGCCTTGTTTTCCTGGTAGTGGAGAATCAGTTTAGCTCTTTACCCTCGCTCCAAAAGCTCAGTGCAGGGGAGGGAGGCCGGCCTCCCGGAGACAGCCATTTCCCAGAGCACACCACTGGATCTCCAAGCTCCCTTAAGGAGTGGGCGTGTTTTGCCTGCCCTTCCTTTCAGGAGAAAACCAAAGCATGGAGAGGTTGAAGTGATTTCTGGATTCCACAGACCAAAAAAAATGATCTGAAATAGGATCCAAGGTTTCTGGGTCACAGTAGTGAACAGACCTAGCATCTCCGCAGCTCCTTCCCCTGGTGCTTCATGTCGGTGTTTCTCCCGTGAGCCGCGAGCTCCCGGGGCAGGCGCTGTCTCCGCGACAGGCAGCCTCGGTAGGTGTCCTTCCTGCAGCGAGAGCGCCTGGCCCTGGCACTGTCAAGAGCATGAGCATGTGGCTCCCCGTCAGCATTACCCGGGTGCCACAAAGGAGCAGGCCTACGGATTTGTTTCTCTCCACGTAGCTTAGAAACAGTTGCCCGATTCACTAAAGACTGAAACCACCCACGTGAACTACGGGCGCATTTCCTGAATTTGCTTAAAGTCCCTGCTGGAATGATGCTTCGGGTGTAGAAGGTGCACCAGTGTGTAGAGCAGCAGGACCCCAGCAGGAAACGGGGCGGGGGGGTCCGGTACGGGGAATAGCTATACCTCACGCCTCGTGCTTTCCTTTCTCTGGGGCTCCTGCTCTTGTTCTGTTCCAGGCCCTTTCTGAGCCCATTCTCGCTGCATGCACGACTATAGCTCCCTCACCCCCCAAAAAGATGAGGGGGTGGGTGGGGGCCTTGTACGATAAAGGCAGGCGCGTGGCAGTGTCTCAAACTGCTAATCAAGTTGCCTCTCTCAGTCACAGCAGCCACCTCCCACCACCTTCAGCCGTTAGGGGGTGGGGGCGCCTCTGGCTTTCGGTTTCCACTCTTTAAAAGGGCAAACCAGGGCGGTCCTGACACCTCCCCCATCGCACAGGGAGCCGAGGGCCCCTGCGCCCCCGTTCCCGTGGGCCTCCAGCTCGCCCACGAGGTCTGTCGGTCTGTCGTTGCTCCTTTCCTGTGAGTTCCCTCAGCGTTTACACCTTCCCAGGGACCACCTTGAGGGTCTTGCATGAACCACCTATCAAATCTCTTACTTTGACCCCGTCGTGGGGGCAGTCCCTGTTGTTAAGGAGAGCCCCCTGAATGCCTGCTCTTCCCCAGTTGCAAGGACAGAAACCTGGGCTTCACCGCTGCTCTGTTTCCTCTCTGTCCCTGTACCGGGCAAGCAGCCAGGACACCGCCCAGGCACGTAAACGTGTGATGTACTCAGGAAGGAGGAGTGGCCTCCAGGGAGTCATTTATTCCTGCTCGGCCCCCCCCCCCCGCAACCCCAGGCCCTCCGTGCACCCAGCTTCCCTCCAGCATCTGCACCGACTTGACTG